ACGTTCCGAAGAGACATGAAGTTGTTGTTGTGGATATTTTTTTTTCTTTCAATGAAAGTTAAATATTGAAATTGAGAGAATTTTGTTGTAATTTGTGAAATTGAATTGTTCAGGTTGAGTTAATAATTTAATATTATAGTTAATGGAGGGAGTTTAAAGGAGTAGTTCAATAGGTGATCTATCTATTGATTTCATTCAAATGAGCAAATAACCAAAACTAAACTCCATACTTGGTTCCTCAACGACTTTCCATGTTACAGAATCAAATTCGAAACAAGGATGAAAATTTCAAAAACTAAAAATATCACAAAAAGCACAAAAACTTTAAAATTCACAAAATTTCGATGTGATGAAATTTTCAAATCATAAAAAAATGTCTGCAACTATTAATAATAGATTGGCTGTTGTTCCTAATAGAATGACCTTACAATTAATGGAGAATCGTTTGAATAGTGCTAAACGTGGTCAGTCGATGCTTAGCAAGAAATCAGATGCTTTGAGAAATAAGTTTTATTCGATTGTGAACGAAATCAAGGAAGAAAAGGAAGGAATGACAAGCTTGTTTCGAAAATCATTCTTTTCATTGACTGAGGCAAGATATAGTGCTGGAGATTTATCATTTGCAGTTACTGAAAGTGTTAAATCTGCAGCAATAAGAGTCACAAGTCATATGGAAAATGTGTCAGGTGTCAAATTTGCTGTATTTACACAAGTTGATAATCAAGAAGATAAATTGCAAATGAAGAAATCACCTTCAAGAACCCAACTTTCATTCCTCTCAAGAGGAGGTGAAGAAATTCAAAATTGCAAATTGACATTTTCTGAAACTCTTCACAAAATGATTCGTTTAGCAAATTTGCAAACAAGTTTCATTTCATTGGATCAAGCCATCAAATCAACCAATCGTCGTGTTAATGCCTTAGAAAAGATCATTCAACCAAAGATTTCCAATACCATTTCGTATATTAATGAAGAATTGGAACAAACTGAGAAGGAAGATATTTACAGATTGAAGAAAATTCGTCAAAATAAGATTAAGCAAGCAAGACTGAAGAAATCAAACTCATCCACTCCAAGAATATTGCGCTAATTTGCCATTGATTTAACTGTACATACCAAAATTAGCAATTGAAAATAAATTCCAAATTAAGAACTTTAAAATTCATCAATTTCCAACAAAATTCAAAAATTCACTCTACAAGATCAAAAACAAAGCTAATCCAGAAATCAAGGCATGATGACGACGATGATGACGTATTTACATATTACAAAAGTTTTTTAAAGATTGATGGAAACTGTGAACTTGCTAATTTACAATTTTTAAAAAAAAATGTCAGTGTTTCCAGATCTATCGAGCACTTCATTCCCTGCTCTCAAGGAATGCTCTGACTCATTAAAAGTCTGGAATCTTCAGGAATTGTATGATTTTTCCTCCTCCGAATACAAAACTGCATGGGAATCAAATATTGATCATCATGATAAGCTATCATGTGTTTATCATGATTGCGTCTATTTGCAATCATTAAATAATTTTTCTTTTAATCATGCTGATGAGAGGGATGGAAGATTGATTTTAATTAATTTGAAAACAAAAACGAATCGAACAATTCCAGTGAGAGGGCTTCATTGTACAAAGGTTGATCGGGATGGGAAGGTGATATTGATTAGTTCTGATAGGAAGTCGTTGCAGGTTTTTCATTTGGAAATGAAGAGTAAAATAGCTGACATTCGGACAGAAAAAGAGTTTCATTTTGCTGATTGGTTGGATAGTGAGAATATTGTGTTTGTGGAGGGAAGTTCATTGTGTAAATTGAATATTTCACAACAAGATCAGCAGCAGGAAGTTATTATTGAGAATATTCCTGGTGAGTTCAATAAGGATATTACCGGAGTGATTTTTAATATGGAGATGTGTGCCATTCAAACAGTGAAGAAGGGAGAGTATTCGTTCTATTTGTACAAGTCAGATTTAAAGGTAGGTCAAATAGTGGGACCTAATAATGCATTTGGTGTTTGCTTGATGGAAGATTCGAAAAAGTTGGTATTGCTTTCTTCAAATGGCTTATTGTTTAAAGACCCTACTGTTGGAAATATAACTGAGCCAGTTTTGTTTTCAGAGAAGGCATACATGACACACTACTTTAAGGAGTCTCAATTGGTTGCATTTGTTGGGTATAAGGGTGATAGTGGTGTTATTGACCTTTCTTCTAAAAAACTTATTGCTAGACATGATTTCAAAACAGAAATAGTGAACAGTTTCAAGACGGATGATAGTCTCGTTATAGTTACAAAGGGAGGGAAAGTGATTGAGTGCTGTTTTAATGCAGAATTCATGTTACATACGTATAGAAACAACTACGATGTGTCAACAGAAATAATGGCTTATTGGAAACGCTTTTCAGAGAGCAATATTAAGGATTTTAGACTTTCATCAATTCAATCAATCTTACCATTACAGACTCCTCTGAACAAGTACAATAGAGATTACTATATTCCTCATGGAGGTATTCATATTTTCCATCCGATTATTTCTTACTACTTCCCTTACATGTATCAGTGTGTAATTAGAAACGAACTCTCCATAGAATACACAACTGAGGAGCAAAATATCATTAAGGATTTTGTTTCCTACCTGATTTATAGAGGCCAAGATTTGAAAATAGACAGAGACAATTATCTAAAGTGGATGTTCATATTCGATAGATGTTGGTTTGAATTTACAGAATTGGAATCAAAAATTGTAACTCTTTTCAATAATGATTTTGGTTTGATTTTGCCAGAAATTTCTCCCCTATTGCAGACGTTAACCGAATATCAATCCAGAAATTTAAATTTTGAAAATGGTTTGTTACAAAAGTGTATCAACTATTGCAGAGATACCATGGATGGCAAAGAAGTTTCACAAGTAGAACCTTTTATTAATGAACACATTCCAATTAGGTTGTCCATCGATTGTATCTACAACCGCCAAGATACTCATGATATCACATTGGTCGCTTATGGAAGGAAAATTGGAGCTCATAAAACCGTTCTGGCATCTACAAGTCCAATATTGGAAGTAATGTTGGACGAGGAAGGATCGTTCAAGAGTGAAGTCACAGAAAATCAAGAGTTGGTGTTAGGTGGAGAAGATCTTGAGATACCAGAGAAAGATAGAGAGAAGAAGGGAGAACTATTCGAGTTACTTGTTAAATTTTGCTATACATCAAGTGTAGACTGTTCTCCAGAGGATGCATTTCTATTATATGAAATGGCTGATCAGTATCAAATTACTGATCTCAAGACATCTCTTGCAGACAAGATCATTGCACAATTGAACCTTGACACATTTATGGAGATAGTCAAATGGAGTGATATTTTTGTACAAATTTCAAACAAACATCTGCACAGAGGAATTCTCAATTTTGCATCCCTTAATGGAATGAAACTTTTAGAATTATATTCAGATCAATTAGTTGCCTATCCAGAATTCCTTGTTAGATTTCTCAAATTTTCTTTTAATGTTGAATAAAATATGTACACGAGTTAAACATTTGGTTGTGCTGTCTTGGCAGCATTATTCTTCTTAGCTTCACATTCTTTTTGATAATTAGTAACAAATTCTTGAACTCTCTTATCCTTCTTTCTCAATCTGTCCCAAATATCCATCATGTCTTGTTCGCAATGCTTTGCCAGTGCATTAAAAAAGTCCTTAGATAGAGGTTTAGTGACATCATCAATAGTCTTTCCAATTTCTTCCTTATTGAATTTAGAAGGTAAGTTTAATTCCATAGGAGCATCAGACTTTAAATATTTGTTTTGAATATTCTTTGCCAATTTTCTTCTTGCCTTGACATTTGACTTTCTCTTGTACAATTGAATTTCCTTCCAAGCTCTTTAAAGGTTATTAAATCACAATGTTGTTATACTTACAAAACACTTTCTGGACAGTATGATTGTTTGGCAAATGCCAACAAGATATCAAACATTTTCTTGTCCCTGAGCATCTTGATTAGTGCTCCCTTTTCCACAGTAGTTACTCCTTCCTCTTCTTCTACGTCCTTATTCCTCTTTACTGATCCCTTTTGTTTGGAGTAGACAGAGATTAGCTCTGCAATAGCTCTGACAGCTGGAATGAAACCAGTCACAATATTATCAGTCACAACAGCGAAGAACAAGATGAGCCCGTAAGCAAAATATGCATCCGTTAATGAGCCAACCACTGGTATAAGCCCAGCTATAATATAGGCAACAATCCAGAGAACCCATAATATCAAAACTGTAAAGGTCTCAACTCTAATACGCCAAGTGTCATTGTCTTCACGAAGAGTGAAAATCAAAAGGACTAGAATAGCTACCAAGTATGACAAACCTTGAACAGCAACAGTGATCAAAGTACCTGTTCCTGCACCACAACCATGATTGAATACGAAAAAGTCTGCAGTTACAGTGAATTTAGTGGAATCAGGATAAGAAGAGAGATAGAAGGTTTCTACTAAACCACAAATCAACCAAATGAGCAAATGCAAAAAACTAAAGACAATTGTGACTGCTAAATAGAACCACCACTTTAAAACGTGTTGAATTCTAACAATTCTAGTTTCCAATGCAATGTATTTTGCTAATTCTTCTTGAGTTACAGTTGAAATGGCATTTGCCAATACACTTTTGTGAAGACCACTTGCTTTTGACATTTGTCTTCTGATACCTTGGTTTGGATCGAGAGAGTTTAGTTTTTCATCAGTAGTGACTCCTCCAGATGAAGTGGAAAGTGAATCATCCATTTCCATAGTGACAGAACCAGCATCTGAATCAGTGTCATCTGAATCCTCATCGTAAGAGTCTGTATCCGTCACTGTTGTAGTATTGAAGAGGACTATTCCAGAACCAGTTCCTGGACTATCCTCAACATCTGAAACGTTTCCAGAAGATGTAGATGGTTGTACTTGTACGGTTTCTCTCTTTCTTCTCGGTTCTCCTCCCTTCTTAATGAGACTCTCTTCGAGACGAAACAATTCAACACGAGTCTTATTCAAACGAGACATCCAAATCAATCTCCACAATCTCAAAAGTGTTGGGAAGAAGACAACCGGAGCAGCAAAGAAATAGGTCAACATGTAGATGAAACAAGGGAATATTTTACGACCAACAGTCAAACGTAAGATGAAAATAAAAGCAAATAGACCTGTCAAAAGCAATGCACCAATCATGACAGCAACTTCTCTATATTTTACAAGAGGAACTTTCCTAGTTTTGATAACTGAAGCAATTGTGAAAACCACAAATATTAGATAAGTGCCCAGAAGAATACCACTGACAGCTTGACTGCTAACAGTCTCTGGACAGAGGCCATATTCTTCCTTTTCTGTTCCATTCTTCAAGAGACTGGGATCACAGACACTTGTAGTATTTGTAGATGTGGAATTTGTGGTTGTTTGTAGAACACTGAGAATGGATATTAACCCTGTTGATATCCAAGAAGAGGGACCCTCGTTCATTTTGGAGTGATGGTTGTTATTATGGTTTAATCCCAACGACTATGGTTGTTGTCATAATTGGTATTGGTTCACGAATGAACAGTAACACCCGAATAATTTAGTTGTGAAAATAATTGACAGACAGGCAAGGCAAAATAGGTTGATTTCGTTAAGACTTATGGTGTGAAAATCTTCTACTTACAAGTTGATGAACTGCAAACAAGTTAGAGGAGGTGAGTAGTTGAGATTGTCAATACAATCGAGTTGATGATTTTTCTTTTGGATTTTCTGCTAGAAGATCGTGAAATGCTTCTCATCGTATGTCCCATCACATAGACAGATATTCTCCATTCTCTTTATTGTGAAGGACCCAGTGACCAATCATGCAATCATTCGAGTTAGCAAATGCATTATCACTTGTCGCACCACAGGGCATCACCAAAGAAGAATCTACAAATTGCTTTGGTTATGCTTTACCATCAAGTCAAAGAGAGAAATGCTAACCAATGAAAGCAACCTTTCGAAGTAGAAATAATCGAGTAGGTGAAGTAATGAGCAAGTATCTGATTCTTCATCATCGGAAAGAAATGCGCACCTTAAATTACAAGCCTTGACTGGAAGAAGCCTATTCAGGTACCTCCATTAATGGCTCTTCTTTTCTGGATTCATTATTATTGTAAAGTAAATATCAATTCATTTGTTGTTGTTATTGTAGTAGAGTTGATGTAAGGAAGAAAAAAGTAAATATTGATATTTTGTTGAGTTGGTTGTTTTCATCATCAAGTAACAGATTTTACAAAGATTGCAAGAAAGGAGATGAAGTGCTCTAGTAGATAACGTTATGATTTGTTTTCTCATTTGCCTTCCAAACTAGATAGCTAAGATAAGAGGTTGGTGCAATTCCGATTCCACCACAATAAAAATTCACCACCATATTCACTTCATGATTTGACTCTGCTTTTTTAATATTTTTTAAGTCTTAACAATTTCTATTTTTCTAACAGAAATTTACAGTTGGCGGCAAAATTCAACAAAAAAATTATTCATATTTAATGATAAATTAGATATTTAGATCTTCAAAAATTAGATATTACAGGGTTTACGTAACTACAAGTATTTTGATTGAACAAAGATTTAATACAATCCAATGTTCTCATCCAATAACTTGTTGTTACTCCCGAATAGACTCTTGTCGATCTGACTTCATGCAGGCTAAACGAACAAGCCTATCCGAAGAAGGATGAAATTGTGAATAAGGCCAAAATCGAACGTTGCCAATGAATGGCTCGACGAGGAAACTGTGATAATGCTTTTCCTAATAACCTGATTCGTACATTGACAACTTGTTTCTTGGTGATTGTTGACGTCCTCTCCTGCCAGAAAAACACACAAAAAAAACGAGCAAAATGAGATCTCACAACATCATTGGCTGTTTTTTATTTACCCTGCTATTTATTATGATTTTTGGCAGCTGGGTTTCCAATGCCGCTGTATCAATAGATGTAAATTATAATATCTACCAATTAGTTGCCTCTTTCTACAATATCAGATCTATGGACTTTGACAAGCAAAATAATATCCTGTACATTGTCGGCGCTAATAACAAGGTTGTAAAATATACTGCTGCAAGTGGTACGACTGAATATGATGCATCAGCATATACTCCTTATGGCATTGCTGTCAATTCTACAAGTGCCTATTTTTCAGTATTTAATCCAGCTTCATTAAAAAAGTGGGACGGAGCTGTAGGAACCTCATCTTATCATCTCATTATGCCAGGTTCAGTTTCTACATCAGGTTCAGATGATATAGTAGCAAATTCTTCATTGACGACGAAGCCGAAATATATGAGAATATCATCAACCACAGGTGATTTATACTTTACGGAAGCATGCAGAGTGAGAAAAATATCAAATGGTATGGTTCGTGCTGTTGCAGGTAAAACTACTTGTACTTCCTCATCAGGAGATGGTGGTTCAGCCACAAATGCAGAATTTAATGGAGCTCCATATTATATTGCCTTAACACCAGAAGATGATTTACTTGTCATGGATAATGTAAATAGACTGAGAAAAGTTAGCAATGGCACAATTACTACAATTCTATCACCTACCTCTTGTAGAGGTCTTGCTGTCGGTACTAATGGAGATATTTACATAATAGGTAAGTAATTGGATAAGAGCAAATTTCAATAATTATTATGTAGATGATCAAGTAGTTAGTAAGGTGAGGAATGGAGTTTCAACCACTATTGCTGGTGGTGGTGGAACTTCAACGAGCTCTTTTTCCTCAAATGATCCTCTATCATATGGTTTTGCTTATGCAGAACTCAGTGATATTGTCGTTGGTGTGAATAATAGTCTTTATTTTGTTGCTGATCAGAAGTTATTCAAATTAGAACCTTATTGCAGTTCAGGTTATGTACTTTCACCTGATTATACTATTTGCTATCCTGTCTGCTTTAATACAGTAGCAACATCTCAATCAGTGTGCTCTAATTCAAATGGTACCTGTATTGCTCCTGATACATGTTCTTGCAAAGCTGGTTATACTGGTTCCAAATGTGAAATTCCAATCTGTTACGGATTACTCTCCAATGACACAGCCAATGCTTGCAGTGGAAGAGGATCTTGTGTAGCAAAGGACACTTGTGTCTGTCAACCAAATTATTCTGGACTTGCTTGTAATATCACTACCTGTTCTTCAATTTCTAGTACCAGTGCAAATGTTTGCTCTAGAAGAGGGTCATGCACTGCCTATAATACTTGTACTTGTTCGCAAAATTATTATTATGGAACAGATTGTCAAAATACTTACTGTTATTCAATTTCCTCTACTGATTCAAGTGTTTGTAGTGGACATGGTAACTGCTTAGATTATAATCAATGTTCTTGTTCTTCAAAATGGTATGGTTCCTATTGTAACATCACAGAATGCTTTTCTATGTTAAGTAACTCTTCAAATGTTTGTTCAGGTGCTGGTACTTGTAATTTGCCAAATAATTGTACTTGTAATGCTGGATATAATGGAACTAATTGTGAAAACTTTGATTGTTTCGGAGTGTCTGTGAATAGTGGCCAAAGTGCATGTCAACACAATGGAACATGCTCAGGACCTGGAGCTTGCTCTTGCTTGCCAACATACTATGGAAAAATTTGTGAAATATCAACTTGTTATGGTATATTGAGCAATTACTCTAGTGTTTGTTCAAGTCATGGAACCTGCACAATGTTGAATACTTGTGAATGCAGCCAAAATTATTATGGAAATAATTGCAGCTTCCCTATTTGTTATGGAATAACATATGATGATACTAGTGTATGTTCTGCTCGCGGAAAATGTATTGGCGGAAATAATTGTAAATGTAATAATGGTTATACTGGAGCTAATTGCGAGCTCAATATTTGTTATGGTGTTAACTCTGACCAATCTAATGTTTGCTCTTCACGTGGTTCATGTGGTGCACCTGATTCATGTCAATGTACTAATGGATACAGAGGTCCAAATTGTCAATATGTTGAAATGATAATGGACGCCAAAGCGGCAGTTTTATCTACAGCAGTCTCCAACGTAATAGCTTCCTATGCTCCTAAAACAGCAACATCTTGCAGTTCTATTTTCTCCTCAAAGGATTTGACATATCTTGGCTCCTCGGAAACTGTCAGATGTATTTGGAATCAAAACACATTCAAAATTTATTTAGGCTACAGACACTTTGTTTATGATAATATGACCATGGATATCTTTGGTAATGGCATGAATTTCACTTTGCAAGTAGTCTTGACAAAGGCCATACAAGATAGTGCCAGTGCTTCTATTTCCATATTACCTCAACTATCTAAGGTACCAAAAACAGCAATTATTGTTAAATCTTACTCACCATTTGTTTTCCAAGCTTTTAGAAATACTTCAATTGCTTGGTCTAACTCAGGTAATACCGATATCTCTACATTGCTTTCAGGAATGAGCAACAAACCAGTGGTAGTCATTCCTTCTACAGAAATAACCTCAGCTTCAACCAAATTTTCCTTAAATGTAACAGGTAAAAACTGGATTGGTGCCACTTCAACTAGTGCAAAAGTTGATATTGATTATACTGCAGCCTATCCATACTTTGAATTAGTATCGGAGACAAGTGGTAGTCAATTTACTTGTTCTGGTTTTGACTGTATTATTGAAGTTAATCCGTATGTTACACCAACTCCTACAGTCTATTTTGATGTACCATTCAATGCTCTCAATAGTGGTTCTGGAGATTATGTAATTAGATTTTTGAATAGAGTTGGCTCTACCATTCTAAACAGTTACTATGAGGGTTCAATGAAACTTCAAACAACCTCTAGTGCCTTAACCTATACAATGTCCTACACTGGCTTTGAAGAAGTGCCAATCGTGTTGCTCAATACTGAAAAACAATACTATGGAAACAAACTCACAATTACTGCTTCTTTTATTGACCCGATGGTTGAATATTTGTTGAGTAGTAATAGTATTAGTGTTTCATGGTTTTGTTTTAGAGGTACTTCAAAGACTGGTCCTTTTTCTGCCTATGACTGTACTTCTCAAACTAAGGAATTAATCATTGGAGAATCTAACCTTATTGAAGGATACCATCAATTCCAATTCACAGCCACTTTGACAAATTCAAAAATCACATCCGTTACCAAAACAGCAATTGTGCAAGTTGTTAAAACAAATATTCCAGATATTCTCTTTGACTCTGTTCCTCCAGTTTATCCATCATCAAGAAACTTGGTATTGAATGCAGTTATTTCTTCTTCCACGCAAATCGGTAGCGTTGTGTGGCAAGTAACCAAGGGTAATTTACTCAATGAGAATATTCTTAGTCAATCAAGTACTCTCTCATTGGATGGATACAATATCAAATCAACTTTGGTTATTGACAAGTCTTATTTATTACAAGGTGATTCTTATACATTCACTGTTACTGCTTCCAATGGTATTGGCTCTTCAACTGCAGCTGTTTCAACTGTTATTGATGTAGCTCCAAGAATTGCTTGTCAAGCCTATGACGCAGCCATAACCAATTCCGTTATCTATGCTTACTCTAGTGATGTGGTAATTGATTGTGCTTCACTCTCTGACTACTCAATTGCTTCCTATCATGTCGATATATATGCCAACTCAACCAGGGTAATGACAGTATCTAAAACAATGAAAAAGACTTTTATTACAAAGGTACCATACGGTCCAAATGGAAATATCAGACTGGATGTACGAGCTGTAAACAAGATTGGATCTATTTCATCTGCTTCTATTGATCTCAAGGTTTCTCTTAAAAATACTGATAACACCCTCGCTGGAAGAATTGGATTTGCTAGTTCTGAATATGAAAGCAACAAAGCAAGCTTTACAAGATTAGAAAGTGTTGTTACTATGCATTCTTTATTGTTACTTATTATTCAACAAAATTCTGTTAGTGAATTTGCCAGTATAGACTCTACAGCCAAAACTACTCTCACCACCTTGATAACCAATATGTTAACTACTTTGAGTGGTCTGAAGAGTATTAGTTACAACGCAGATGACAAATTAGCTCCTGTTTTTATTCCATTTGCAAATGATGCTTACAGGTTACTTGCTGTTATTTCTCCAACTACAGTGGCTTCCAATGCTGATCTACTCACTTGGGTTAAATTCTTCATAACGTCATTCAATGATTACAAGACATATTATAGATCTACAGTTGTACCTACTATTTACGACTCTAAACACTTGACAGAAATTGATTCCTTGATAGGTATTGGCGCAAAGTATATTAGTGATAGTAGTTTCAGTCCATTATATAAGGAAACAGCTATTATTTCCAAATTGATTACTGACGTTACCAATTCCACAACAACGACAACCTCCACCATCGTGGATTCCAGTGGTACGGAGACAAGATTTGATATTGTTGACAGAATTCAACAACTGAATGCCAAGACAATTACATTCGCTAATTATCCTTCAATTTCTATTTCCTTCCCATCAGATTTCTACTCACAACTCGGTGTTGAAAATTCAGGATCAGGAGTAACCCTCACTTCTGCTGTTTCAACCTCTAAATATTCCCAACTAGTAAGCCCTTCTGTTGATATTTCTCTTTCTACCTCTTCAGACGCTGTTATTTCTGTGAGTGGATTGCAAGGAAATTTGATTCAAATCAATTTTGGCACCTTATCACAACCTAAAGCTAACTTTACCAGTTACAATTATACTTGCAGATTCTTGAATACTACCTCATCACAATGGAGTCAGTCAGGAGTGTCAAGCTCTATTTCCATTTTGTCAGATGATGGCCAAACTGTCACCTTTTCTCTTTCATGTTTAACTTCTCACTTGACTTCTTTCGGAGTTGTTTCTGCTATCATCCCTCCAACATCACAATCTAAAACAGTAACAACAGATAATACTGGTGTTGTTGTTGGTGCTGTTTTGGGTACACTCTTGCCATTGATTTTGATAGCTGTTATTGTTGTCGTAGTGGTGATAATTGTAATTATTTTATACAAGAGAAAGAAATCTCTCGACTCATCACAAGTTCAAAATGTTGAATTGGTCAATAAGAATGTTTCAAGTGTTCATATTAGTGACTTCCCTTCAGAAGAAAGCACTCACTTTAAGCAATTGGTTAGTGTATCTTCTGGATCTACTAATTCTGATCCACTTGCAAGATATGCTGATATGGTAAAGATTGGACAAGGCGCATTCGGAAGTGTGTTCAAAGGTGTTGATACAAAGCAAGCAGGAAAGTTGAAGGCCATCAAGGTTATTAGATTTAATTCTGTTGGTGAATTGAACAATATGCTCAAAGAAGGAACTATGCTCATGAACATTGATCACCCACATATTCTAAAAGTCAACGAGTTTATTATTGACAAAGATAACATTCTCTGTATTGACACAGATTTCTGCGAAGATGGTGATTTGACCAAGCTTACTCTTTCTGCAGAGCCAATCCCAGAACCAATCATCAAACAAGTAATTTATCAAATGTGTTCTGCTTTGGCCTTTATTCACAACAAGCTCAAGATTATTCACAGAGATGTTAAACCACACAACATTTTCTTGAAAGAATTGACAGATTTTTCAGTTCAAACAGTTTTGGCTGACTTTGGTCTTGCTAAACAAGATCAAAACAACAGCATGAATTCATATGCTGGTACACCACTTTGTAAGTTTTTATTTTTAATTATTTAATTAACAACCAATTAAATAGACATGAGTCCAGAACTTGCCCTTGGAGGTAAATATAACTATAATACTGACACTTGGTCTCTTGGTGTTGTAGCCTATCAATTAATGACTAAAGATATCACAACTGCTCTAAGTCATTTGTGCTTAACAGGAGATTCAGAAGATACTAAGAAGAGAATTAGAGCCAAATTGGATGAGACTGGTCAATACTCTGAAGCATTGAAAGAGATTGTCATTTCCATGTTAGAAAAAGATGCTGCATCACGTCCATTTCCTCAAGAATTAGTCGATCGTCCTTTCTTCCAAGATTATAGACCAAAGAAGAAGAAGAATAACATTTTCAGATCCAGTTCTGCAGGAGAAGATGATATGTATATGTAAACTTATTAAACAAATTTTAATGACCTGTTGATTTCAGTAGATGCATAAAAATTATCCAACACTGGATGAAGAGAACCCAGTAATTGCCTTCCTTTATGGACTACTCCTCATCAGAGCTAGGCTCATCAGAGAAATACACTTTATCAAATAATTTTAATCCAGCAGGTGTTGAACTAATCTCTCCAGATATGGAATTCCTTTTAAAATATGTTTCATGATAGGAAGCAATTTTTCTCAATTTAGGAAAAACATCATTAAACAATAAATTCACTTCTGTTAAATTAGCAACTTCCAAAGTTGTAAAAATCAATTTTTCAATACCGTTAAATTTACCCCTTATATCCCAATCAAAATTATCAATGTTAATAATTTTAAGTTGATTGGAAAATACAGAATGTGAAATAAGGTTATACGAATCGTCTGAACCACAATTATCAATCATTAAGGTGGTTAGATTAATCATATTTGGACTGTCAACAATCATTTTTACACCCTCACTCCCAATATCATTGTTACTGATATCCAAATAAGTCAACTTGGTAATATACTTGCTTTCACATAAATATTTACATGCTTGTTTAGTACACAAGCCATGATAAATGATAAGACTCGATAAATTACTCATATTTGGGCTATTGGCGATGTCAATTATTCCATCTCCAATTCTACACCCTCCTAAATTCAAATAGGTCAATTGATTTAAATATTTGCTATTAGCAATTTCCTTACATCCTTCTCTCTCAAAACTATTTGAACATAAATTGAGACTAGTGAGATTCTTAAAATGTTCATTCCTTGTTATTGGTTCCATATTTTTTATGTAACTTATTTCTAAACATAAGCTTGTCAATTGAGTTAATTGACCAAAATCCAAAGCTTCATCAACAAAAATATCATTAATTTCCAAATTTGTTAAATTAGTGAAATATTTTCCATAAGCAAGAGCTTTTAAAATTGACTTATTCGCATTGAAAAGTGATTCCAATTTCAATATCCGTAAATTTTTACAATTTTCACTATTTGCCAAATATTCAATGCCCTCCCTAATTTCTGATTCTCCAAAATCTAAACGTGTTAAATTTTTCAAATAAGGACTGGTTGCTATTAATTTACAACATTCATCATCAATTTCATTGGCAAACAATATCAGACTCTTCAAATTGCGCATCTCTTCACACTGACACAACTCTCTAATACACTCCAATCCAACAAAATCATCGAGACGATAACAATTACTTGCATCCAATTGAGTCAAATTGGAAAGTAATTTGTTTTTGAACAATAAATTGTTTAATGTACTTCCTCGGGTGAGTTTAATGGAGAGAGGTAGTTTGCAGCACTGATCAAACCATTGTTTGGAAACGAGTGAACAAATTGGAATAATTTCCTTCCTATTATGGAGAAATGGTAAAATATTCAGTAGAATATCATCGTATAATGTGGGGGAGGAGTATTCGTGCATTTTCTTACATTTTGATGGTGGTTGAACACCAGTACCACTTTCAGCACTAAATATTCTTTTCATTTTTTTATTTCAGATAATTAATTTTTAATGAAATGGATTTGATGAGTTCCCAATTTGGGGTTCTGAACTTGTTATTCAAACTGATGATACACAAACTACAGAAGAATGCTCTGAGAACAGTCATACGATTGTATTCTAAACTATCATACTCATTAAATATAACAATGCGAAACTCTGAAACACTGGATTTGCAGAGTTTCTTGAAGATCATTCCATTATTTAAATTGCTGCAGTGCCTGTTGATCTATTGTTGGGCTCAAAGAAGAATAAACAGTTTCGTTTTGTAGTGTATTTCGAATAAATCTTGTTTTCACAATTTAAACTAATGTTAAAGGACTAACTCTCTCAACAACTCTTTCTTATTTGAATTGTCCTTTCTCAAAGTGGATGGGGATCAAGATTAGCATCAGCAACATGTCAAACTTTCGAATAAAAAACACTTCAAAAAAATAGCGCAACCACAAGTTCATCTCTGTAGCCATGTCATCCATGTGGCTTTCAAGTGCATCAACCATTGACATTTCTCATCTGGTGGTTTCAACTTCATATCAACTAAACGAAACCCTTTCGAATAATTCCACAAATTCAACAATATGCCATCCCATTCTCTTTCAATTGGGCAACTTTTCCCGCGAATCCACTCCACAAGAACTCTACGGACTTTGCCCCGACGCTCTCACCACTCCAATCTTTAGTTCAATTTTATTATTTCTAATCATTCTCATGTCCATGGCCAGCATTTTAGGAATCATTGCCTACAGACACAGTGGACACATCAAAGCCAGAGGTGCAACCACCATTTCCCTCTCAGTTTGTGTCCATCTGGTGTTCGTGTCCATTTTCTTCCTTCGTCTAATGATCGATCGAAAGACATTTCCGTGTGCAATTTATACATTGCTCTATTTTTTATTACCGGCAGCTGTTACATTACCCATGATATTGAGGTGCATTCGTCTCTATTCAATGTACAAATTGAATTTAATCAAGACGAGGATATTTGATGTGGATGGAGTGGATTCGGTGAATGGTGGAGGTGGACGAAAGAAAACTAATGAAATGGTGAAGAAGGAAGAAATTGTGAGTTCAGTAGTGGAAATTGTGGAAGAATCGAACCATGTGGAAATGAAGAATTTTGAGAATCGTCAACATTCGGTTCATTTTGAAAAAGTGTTGAGTGAATCGACAATTAATCAAGAAACACCTTCTTCATTGAATACCACCTCAATAACTCATAACAGTTCATCCAATGTCGATTCTCTAAATAATTCAGGAATAGACGAAACTCTCAAGCAACAGGAAAATAATTTACAAATCTTGTCAGAGGTGAAGGGAACTCAATCGACTTTTGACGTGAATGAAAATATTCACACCAATGATGAATCAACAGTGACTGACGATGAGGACATTACCAACACTTTCACATTGAATACTTCACGGTCAACTTGGAATCTTTCAGACATTAATTCAAAGGAAGTTCAATCACAAGCCAGAAAGCTCAATATTTTGACATTTATTTCATCGTACAAGTTTATGGTAATTTGCTATGCCTGTTTGCTGATTTTACAATTTTTGCTATGGCTTGGTTTGGGAGGAATTGAGGAGATTATTTTTACAGTTTCTCCTCCTGCAGATAATTCAAGAATTTTCCTATTGGAAGGAGGAATGTTACTCTTCTCTCATGGATGCAGTATCAGTACCAAGTTTGTCATTATATTTGGAGTGATTACTGTCATTTACTTTATTATTGAGATTGGTGCATTCATTTTGTGTCTGTTTGCTGATAGAGATACTTGGAATATTAAGAAGGAAACTGTCATTTTGCTAATTTTTCAAGTAATATGTCTACTCTTGTTTGTCATTACGGGAAATATTGACATTATTGTGATATTGACAGATTATTTTATTCCATACGGATATACCTTAATGATCTATTCCTATATTGAAATTCTGATTTATTCCCTTATTCCAATAATGAGATCCATGTATGAAAATTACAAAAAGAAACGTCAGGTAAAATTCATGCAACAGGAGGCCTCAGAATTGAGCAAATCAACAAGTTCCTACCATTTGAAACCTGTCCCATTGTCAGATGTCGAACGAGTTCTTATGAATAAGAGAACATTTAACATTGTTTTGGATTTTGGAAGAAGATCCTATTGTGTGGAATCAGTTCTTGCATGGAGAGACATCCAGAGGTATCAAAAATCGAGAAGACATAGAAAGAAAATTGCCCAACACATTATTAGTACCTATTTAACAATTGGATCTCCTTTCGAATTGAATATTTCGAATATTGAAAAGAAACGATTGGAATACTCAACTATTATTGAGGAATCTAAGAAATTGGAAAGTTCTTTATTTGATTCTTTAGAATCACATTGTCTGTCAGATATGACAGATTTATTCGATCGGTTGAGATCATCAAATGCTGAAATTGATACCCTAGTCAAGTCATTTAAAAACTAATTTAACCTATTCAATATTTTAAATTGTTTCATTCCCATTTTCTTAAAATTGCCAACTGGAAAGTTTACAATGGCTTAATTCCTATAATTAGTCCACAAAGTTTGTGTTGTAAACAGCACTCTAGTCCTTCCATTTCAAAAAAAAATGAAACTACTTGAGCTTCCCATTGAGATGATCCTCCACATGATTGATTTTATTATCGAAAAGGATCCGCTCCGATCAAGATTTCCAGAAAATATTAAAAATTTGTGTAAATTGGATTTAATTTCCATGGAACTTTCGAATCATCCTCTCTTTCATCAGCATTTGGATAATTACTGGGAAATTATCTTGCTCCATTTCGTCCATATTACCCTCGACAAAAATGGAAAAGTTAATGGTGCTAAAAGTGGAATTGAATTTTCCACAGTTGGATTTGAAGCTAATTTCAATCCGATAAAGGAAAGGAAAATGTGTAAAATGTGTTTCTTCACGATCAATAGCATTGAAAAGCTAAAATTTAAAGCGTTTCGTATTCAACTTTTGCATGATTTATCCGAAAGTTCAAAACCAGTGTTAGAAACCTATAATTTGTTGAGAGTATTTACAGAAGAAACATCATCCGTTAATTTTGGCAAATCATACATGATGCAGGTTGTTAGAACAGCCCAAAATAATTACGTTACATACGATCGTAAGTTTACAACAAATTTTTGTAAAAAGTTAAATTTTAAAATTCAAGAAAAAAAAACAAATTCTTTTGTAATCTTTCCAAAAACATTGAAATCACTTTCTGAATTTGTGGAATTGGCTGACAGTAGAGATTCCACCACCCCAAAATTAATTTGTTTATGTGAAGAATCTGAATTGAGTTTCGAACAAGTTTCAAATTATGTGGAAACTCAAAAAGTAACCGATTGTGAAATTATTGGAATAGGAAAAGGAGAAGATTTGGAACTCATCAACAAATCCCTTAAAAATCTTGTAGAAACTTCTTATTTTCATGAATCTGGGCTTTTATATTTGGAAAGGAGAAATAATATTCGAAAGTTTGCCAAAAAAATTCCTAATTTTCATGAAACAATTCCTAATTTGGATTGATGAGCTTATTTCATGAAACTTTTTGAGAATTAAAATATTTAACATAAAAAAATATTTAATTTTTATTACAAAATAATTTAATAAAAAAAAATGTCAGAATCAAATCTTGATCGTCTGATCACGCTCTCGGATCTACGAAACAACTTTTCCGCAATCAAAAGCCTCACCAACACGACCTTTGCAAAAGAATACAAAAACGACGAATTATTTTATCAGAATTTGCTGGAAACACAACAAAAAGAAATTTTACCAATTCTCCAGCAGTATAGCATGTCAAATTTGTATAGTGAGTGCATACATAGAACGTTGGAAATTGGTGATAATGATGGTGAGAAGGAAATTTGTATGAAAACAATATTGTTAATATATGTGTACATGTTGGAAATTTCAAAAAGTGGATACACTTGGAATATTCCAGAGTTTCGATTGTTTATTTATTATGTGGAAGAGAAGGCATTAAAACAGTTCTTTGATTGTTGTAAAAGAATTTATCAATCAAAACAAGAAGCTGAGTTAGAAACTGGAGTGGAGAGTTTGGAAAATTGGCAATATTTCATATTGCATATTTACATTCGTATACACAATGATATTATTACAATCGATAATGGAATTGAAGGATTCACTGAATGCCCTCCCTTCTGTGTCTTATTGACACTTTCTAAATACTTTTGTGAGAAGAGGGACAAATTCGTCAATGAAAATCCTGGAAAATTCTGGAAAAAGAGCAAAATTGAAAGCTTTGTATTGCACAACCACTTGTTGTTTTGGAATAGATTGATTGAAGTAATATATGAAATTGATATTTCCTCCCACTCATCAGATGCTGTTTATAGAGCAAAATTGAAAACTACTGTCTTTGCTAAAGTTGTAATGGACTGCTTTTATAATATTGCAGACCTTAACTCCACAAAGAAGGAAGGGAATTCATTTCGTGTTGTTTTGTTGATTATAGCCAAATTGTCTCACGTATCTCCTCTCCACTATGATCTATTAATGAAGTTAATGGCACATGACTATGAACAGATCAAAAATACCCCTGACTCGACTGTGCTTTCTGCCAATGATATTTCGAAGTCTGGAGAGATTGCCAACTCTAAATACTGTGGAAAATATGCATGGATAATTAAGCACAAAATATTGAGCATAATAAGTTCACTACTGAATGATGTTGCCGGACTAGGAACAAATATGCAATTTGTTTCAGATTATTTTTATTATTTCAATTTCATTACTGAAATGTTGAAAAATGAATCTGAAATTGAATCAGGAAGTTTATTGGGACAGCAGGCAATTATTACTGCAATTGAAACTATTTCATTGAATGCCAATTTAAATAGAGAAGAGTGTACAGTGCTTTCAGAACATGAATCGAACGTATTGAATTACTGCAAGAAGTTGATCTTCTCAAAAAATAGAAGATTAAGAAGACTGACTAATACCTATCTTGGTAAATTCTTTGACAAAACTGAATATTGTTCTGATGATTTACTAAAATCAATTATTCAGTCTCATGAATTGGTTACTGATGATGTCACTGATTTTTGCGAGATGCTACAGGGAGTAGCTAAATGCTTTGGAAATGATCATTCAATTGTTGGAGAATCAGTTTTGGAAAGCTTTGGATCATTAATTTACAAAATCTTTGAAATAGTATGTGTGGATGATAAAAAGAAATATTTGCAAGATTCTAAAGATAAAGGTGAAGAAGGAATGATGAAAATTCATAAGAGAAATGTAGAAAAAGTATTTGAGTTACTTGAAGAAACCTATTCATTAATTCAAAAACATATCCAACTTGAAGTACTTCTTACATATATGAAGAAAACAACAGAGGAACTGGTTGACAACGTTGGTGCTTTAGATACATCTATTCTTCCATTATTTTCTCTAGTTCTTAATGAAATTTGTGTGTCAACCAAAACAGATGATTTAGTAGAATCGTTTGAAAAGCTTGGATATTATCAATTCCTAATTGAATTCATAGAATTTTTCATTAATGAAGGAGAACATTTTTCACTTATTGAAGTTGGCCCAATATTCATTCTCATTGCATGTCTGAGTGATATTCAACTATTACACACCAAATTTACAATAGATATGGTTAGTGAACACAAAATGCATGGAAAACAAAGTATTAGGAATTTTGTTTACGATTACCTCATTCCAATTATTATTAAGAGCTCCAATTTACCAATTGATATTCATGAATACATCGGAGGGGAACGCTACTTTTGTTATTTGGATAAAATTAGTGAATCTTACTACGCATGGAACAGAATAATGTTGAATGATATTGCATACACTGGACGATGTCAGATACTGCCTTCAATTATTGATAGCTCAACAAAACGGATAAGGGAAGATCTCCAAACTCTATTAGGTTTAGAAAAGCCATTGACTGAAGAAGATGCTTTGGATGAAGCAATATCAAATGCAGTTATTACTTTGATACTACTAAATAGACACCAAATAGAAAAGGTAGCTGAAATTGTTATGCAATTCATGCCAGTAATATACAAGGATTCCTTTTATGAAATTATGGTGCACAGATATGGAAGGGTTAATATTTTAATCACATTAATGGAAATAGTTGAATACTCAATGTATATTGGCATTTTCAAATTTAATTATTTAACAGAGGAGTGGATAATTGGTTTGCTTGAACAACCAATGAACAATATCTATTTAAGAGCATTAATTCAAAGAGTTTTTGCTCACATTGAAATTTCGAATGCTTATTAGAAATGCATCAAGGAAGTATTAGATTTTGTAAAAAACCTTTCTTAAGCCACATATTTCCTAGATTTTCGATAAATTTTTAAATTAAAAAAAGTTTAAAAAAAAATTCAAAGACTTTTTCTCTTCTTTTGAATTCACCGTAATTCTTTAATTTGCTCTCGTTTCTTCTTACCTGGCAAAAAGCAAACCATCCAACTACAACACTTCAACCACATCCACCATTTCTTTGTAGCTTTCTATAGAAAATGTACACTAATGAAAATACCTTTAGCGACAATACTGATGAAGAATTGTTTGACTTTAATTTTGGTTTTCCGTTAACTCATGATGATGAACAAGTATTGTCAACAACCACTGAATATTTAGGTAGCTTCCAACAACAAAAAGAACATTTACAAGAAGATTTTTCAACAACTTCAGTTGATTCTGTCTTTGTTGATGATCAAGATTTGGTTGATGGTTTTGCTGCTTTGGAGCAACAAGAAGCTCAACTTATGAGCAATTTGCATGCTTTTGTCTCCATGTATTCTACAGTAGAGATGGATATTCTTGTTGATCAATATTCATTAGCTTCACCAACAACAAGAACTTTCCTCAGTCTTGATCAAAACACTTCTCCTGAAAGTGTTGTCGATCAAGTTGTTATTGGCAAGAAGTCTTCCAAAGACATCTCCAAAGGAAAGTTTGAACACTCTTCGTTTGTGGAAAAGAGAACCAAGAAGGCAAAGAAATCAGAAGAGCAATCGATCAAGAAACGTGCAAAGAAGTCTTCTCCTGATTTATGGGAACACACAAAATTCTCTGAGAGTGCACCTTACTTTGAGATTGTCACTGATGTGAAGGAGATGGAGCTGATTCTTGAAGTAGCTCAAACAAAACGAAGACAAAATGGTCCACTAAATTCAGATAAGAATGATATTGTCCATTACTGTGATTTGTCGTACAAGATTGAACAATTGGATATCAACAAGGTAAATTATGTTTCCCTTAAAGGTTTACTTGATAAGAAGACCATTTACAATGGTGAAAAGTCATCCAAAAGTTATACATGGATTAGATTGAAGGGTACGTCAGAGTACTTCTTTTTATATTGCCAAACTGGCAAAACCAATGCTGTTCATAACATCATGTCAATCAACAATACTGAACTGGTCAGTACAAGATCTGACCATCTCTCTAAATATTCTGCAAAATGTTCTGACACTGTCAGAATCATAGGTCCAAAACAAACCAAGTACTAACCTACCTGGTTTGCTATGAACCTCGCAAGCGAATACTTAATTTCCCTCAATATTACTCTCAGTATCATACATAAGGATTCACCCATCTTATGTGTGATATTGCTGTGATACGGATTGGAAAATAAGGTTTCTATTGCGAATTGAATTCAATCATTGTTTTAATAATTAAATAAAATTCTTTGTAAATAACATAATTAAATTTAATACTCGGATCAGCATTGAAATTAATCATTTAAAAATTCAATAATTCAATGATGTTAAGGGTGGAACAAGTTTTATTATTACATTCTTTGCACGTTTCTTCAAAAAAGGATGATGAAAATCCACCTTTGAACAACGTGATTTCCAACCTCACGTTTCATCCATTTCAATCCTGCACCTAAAGTGATGATTTCAAAGCTTTAAAGAAGGTTACGTTCCTTCATCAAAGCCTAAAAAAACAACACAAAAACAATTCGAAAAGTTCTTTCAATACAATAATAACGGCCGTTATTAGGAGGCTCCTATTGATTCAGGAAATTCATTTTGTTATATAGATAATATATATTAGTGTGAATTGAAAACGGACGTTAATCATTTTACATTCATCATCACATTTGGGAAAATTAAATTATAAAAGTTGATAAATCACTTCCGATTATTCATCATCATCATCAGTGTAAATAGTAACACCACCAAATAATTGTAGTATATAATAGTAGTATTTAAAATAGTATATTAATAATAATTGAAAATGCTCAATACAACACTTCATAAACAGAAAAAGAAGGTGAGCAAGAAATCTCAACCTAAAATTCACCAAATTACCATCTCTAAATATATCAATGATAAATATGCTCTAAAATCTGTTGAATTGGGAACTGGTTCCTTTGGGGATGTTTATTTGGGAGAGGAAACAGATCCGATCACTAGAAAGAAGAGAGATGTGGCTATTAAGAGAGTGAGATTGGAAAGATATGGTCCTGAACATTTCAAATATTTGGTGGCAGAAATTGAAATTATGGCTGGTTGTCAAAATGAGTTTGTCATGTCACTTGTTGATAAAATTGAAATTCCAAGAAAGGAACTCTATTTGGTAATGGACTTGTGTGAGGCAAATTTTAAATATTACATGAATAATGCACGAAAGAGGAGGCAAGATAAGAGATTGCCTTTACTTTCAGAGAAGGAAATTCAATATTGGATAAAACAAATTAGTAGTGGATTGGGATATTTACATTTGGAAAAGAAGATTTGCCATCGTGATATTAAACCACATAATTTGCTACTCAAGAAAAAGGGTCACGAAGTTGCTTTTGATTTCTATGCCAAGATTGGAAATTATGATGAATATACCATTCTGATTAGTGACTTTGGTCTTTCCAAAGTGTTGGATAGCAATCCAATTGCAGAGACAATTCTTGGAACTCAATGTTATAGATCTCCACAGCTGGCACTCTTCCAACCATACTCATTCGATGCAGATATATTTGCTTTGGGTGTGGTGCTGTTTGAAATGATTGCTGGTTACTGCTTGTTTGGTGCTCAAGTTACTAATCCAAAGCCAAAATATGGTGAAATTATTAGTACTTTAACAGAGAATATTGACTGGAGCTTTTTATCTGATGCACTTGATATTTCTCCAGAGCTGGTAGATCTTCTCTCTGGCATGTTACAATTTGAAGTGGAGAAACGTTTGAATATTGAACAAATTTTGCAACATCCCTTCCTTAATATGGATTTTTCAGAAAGTGAAGTTACTACTACCAGGTCATTCCATCTGAAACTATACCAACTGTATCATATATTGAAATTCCTCTTACTACCACTACTACAACTGACAATGATTCTCCAAACAACTCAACTCAACAACAGCAACAAGTTCCTGTACAAATTATACTACCAACCAGCGAGGAAGAAAAAGAAAAAGAATTGCCAGTTAACGAACCAATCCAAGTAATACAGTTGGAACGTGATGAGCCAACTCCTACAACCTTTTCAGAATTTGTCTCCTTCTCCTATGAAAGAGTTGGACTGCCCCAAGATTATACACGAGTAAGCATTATCAAGGATGAGATTGGTTGTGAACCTGCCCTTGTTAAAACTGAAAAAATTTCCAAGAGCAAACACTCCAAAGTTCTCATTCTTCTCAGCAGTGACAGCAACAAGGCAATTAATTATTCAATCAAGGTACTAGAGTCGCCAGTCAAACACACACAAACAGGAACAGTTTCTTCTACTGTGGAATATGAATTGGAGAATATTGAAATGGAAATGATTACTCTAGAGTTTGAATTTACTCATTCTCTCACCAACAGATGGCTTTCTTATTTCACAACTCCAGAACAGATTCCATTCACTATTGAAATTTATGTTCAATCGAGAATTCCAGAACATACCTCAACTCTTTCTATTGAATCAATCAATTAAAATTATTTGTGACTCTTTCAGAATTGTGAAATTGAGAAATTTGTATGAGAACAATTAGGATAAATGTAAATTTGCAGTTGTTAACTATCCAACGCCTACTGACCTTTCTTTTTCAATAGCAAAGTTTATAAAGTACAAGTTTACAACATGTTCCTTTGCTTACGGTTTCAATTAGAAACCATTCGAAATTAGATGAATTCAACTCATTCATTTTAGAAGAATGTTCTCTTAACTTCCCAAGGGCGCCATCAATTAAAACAAAAAAACCTTCAAATAACAAAGACATGCTCACCTGTCAACATTCAAAAAACAACAAAAAAAAATGTCACTACGGGACACTATGCGTGAATATAGAAAGGCCACTTTCACCATCTTTGCAGGAATTGGCCTCATTATCTTTGGATTCATCGTTGGATTCGTCAGTATTGCCCTGGGAGTCCTCTTCCTCTACACTCCAAGTGATTATTCGTATTCGTCTTCCAAATCCGATTCTGAACTATTTAAATGGGCTGTGAGTGCTGGTGCATTTGGATTTTGTTGTATCATTGCTGGATATTCAATGATTGGAGGTGGATGCAGAATGTGTTTCTCAAGTTGTTCCGAATGTTGTTCGAATGGATGTGGACGAATGGATTGTAGTGATTTTGAGTGTTGTGATTGTGGGTCATGTTGCTCAGATTATTGTTGGAGTTTGGGAGAAATGATGAAGAGTTGTTGTGGATGTTGTGTTGGAAAGGTAGCAGAGAATCAAGTTTCGTATAATATGGATTCGTATGAGGCGAGTCGTCAGGAACATACTATTGTGCATTTGGTGTATGAAAATAATGAAACGAAGGAGGAAATTCCATTGGAAGTTCTTCAAATGCAACAACAACAATTATCAGTGCAACCAATTCATGCTGCAGATGTGAAAATTCAAAATCCAAACGTTCCAGCTGAAGATTCTGATAATAATTATTCGAATGATCATCAATATGGTGGATTTAGTGGAGTTGTTGCACCACCTATTCAAGAAGAACCAACTGTTTCTTCTGCATTTGTGCAAGTTGGCATAGTTGACCAAGCAATGGTTGAATATCATAGATCTGAATCTAATAATGAAGTGATGGAAATCAATGCTCCAACACAAGTTTAAATTTCATAAAATCTTAATATCAGGAAATAATTTTTTTATTGATCTAGAATTGTAACTGAATCATTGGCATTAAACACATTGAGGTGAAGATAATAAGTGTTAGGAGGGAGGTTTTGCCATTCTTCATATTTGCCAGTATTCAAATTTGTAATTTTCAAAGTGTTTTTGCTGCAATCGAGGTCAACTTGGATAATATGTCCAACAGCCCAATCATTTGATGCAGTGGTTGAGGAGCTTGAACAGTCAGTAAATTTTTGATTTCTACTTGAAATACCAAAATTATTTGGTTGCTCGAACGAGTTTTGATAATCAGTTAACGGCTTACTTGCTACACCAACCATAATCCAATGGGAAGTTGATGCAAAATGATTCATTCTGAGCTTCCAAGTTCGTTTTCCACTGGAAATACCATCACTACCAAGTGCACAAGTATTACCTGTTTGAGAAGCAGTTGCCGTCTTGTTATTATCAGACAAGTCAGTATAGGGTCCTTTAAGATTCATATCAAATGTATCAGCAATGCCATTTCGTTCCTGATCAGCCGATTCATCAGAAAACATTTCAGAGATCAAATAATAATCTGCCTCCTCTCTCAACAAATCTCTTTTAGATTTATCGAGTGCTGATAAATCAACCTTTCCATATCTCATAAAATCCAAAACATAGTGAAATAGTTTAGGATTTCTATCAATGAAATAGGATCCGTCCTCATCAGGCAACCATTTTCCACTCGAAATCATTGCATAAAAGAAGGTATCCTTCTTTGATAGCAATGTTTCCCTGCTCGTTTTAAAAATCTTTCCTCCGACATCCAATTTAATTGTGGATTTTGCCTTGTTGGCATTTTCTTCCATTAATTTTTCCTTCTCCGACCATTCTTGCTCCAATTTTAAAAGATGGGAAATTCGTTCCTCAATGGAAAGTTGTGCAGCGAGAAGTTGTTTGGCGCCTTGATCGAGTTGGTTTTTGAGAGATTCGTATGACGAGTTGTTGGACATTTTTTTTTTTGAACAGAAAAGAATTCTATAAATAATTCACAAATTACGATGGGAATTGGTAAATTGGACAAGAAGTTGTGAAAAGAAGAAGATAATTTTATATTTAATGTTTATTATTTGGTATTGAAATTAGTTTTCAATTTTTTATTAGAAAGTTCTGTTAAAAAAAATGAAACTATTAAACTTGTTTATTTTTCTAATATTATTTCCCACACTAATTTATTCATCATCCGCAGAGGATACGAGAAATTATTCCAGCTCATCCATTAATAATTCGAATAATTTTCCTTCATCCTCTTTGAAAACTAATGTTGTTAACTATTCGAAAGGAATTAATTTACAAATAATTTATTACATTAATTCTGATGATGTCAAATATCAGAATACAACTTGTCAAGACGAAAGTCATCCATGTTCAGATATGAACCAAGTGATCTTGGCAGCAAATACGAAACTATTCGAAATATTTCATGAAAATGATCAAACTAAATTAGATTCTTTTACAATGATTGTCATGATTGATTCGAAATTGGAATGTAACAAACTGCTCTTTGATTTTTCAAATTATACGAAACGATTCGAAATGAGGTGGAAAGGATACGAAAATGGTTTATTCTCTGCTTGTCTAAATAGTTTAGATGAAAATTCCATTTTAGATGCTTTCACTGTTGAGAATGGAAAGATTTCAGGCGAATTGAATAATAGATTAGGTATCAAGAATTTGGAAATTCGAAACTGTCACGATGGTGGAATGATTTACTTTTATACTAAAATAGAAAATTTGCTGATTGCTGACAGTTTCTTTCATGAAGATACTGAAATAACTGAGATTACAAATGTACGAGTGGAAAATACGCAATTGGATGATTTTGAAATTGTTTCGAATGGAGCAAGTGTTGAAATTTCAAATTCTAAAATTCAAGGAATTGTTGATTTGCAGAATTTTAAATCATTTTCTATTCGAAACTCAATTTGGAAAAATAACCGAGTTCATGAGGATTATTCATCAACATTTAATTTAGGACAAGATGTTTCATTTGATAATGTAACAACTAATGCTAAAATTGTGTTTATTTCAATCAAGTCAATCAAGATGAATGGGCTAATTGTACACAATTATGGAAACGGATATTTCTTGTATCAAATGATACGAGTTTCTCATTTCTATCTAAGCAACAGTTCGTTTGTGGGAAATTTCGTGCTCAACAACTATTTACTCTCCTTGCAAATAGTTGAATCTATACAAATTGAAAATTGTACAGTTTCTAATAATGTTGGAGGTTTCATCATGGTAACAGATGCTACTTTGATAATGGGACAGGTGAATATACGAATTAGTAAGAGTGTATTTCAATCCAACGAGATGCTGTCAGATATTGCTCTAATTGACATTGTGGATCAAACAAGAGAGATGTATTTTATCACAGTTGACCATTGTAAATTTTTGGAAAATACAGGAGAATCCACTTTACACATTGATGGAGGACTTGCCCAAATTTCCAATTCAGACTTCTACTTTAATATTGCAAACGAACATGGTACTGCATACTTGAATTGCTATGTTACAATTTCAAACTCTAAATTCATCGCTAATCAAGCCAAGTTAGGAGGAGCCATTTACATTGGTCCTGCTGGAAATATTGATGCATCTCAAACAATTGATTTTACTTGTGATAATAATTGGGCAACCTACGCTGGAGGATGCATTTATTCAGAAAATTTGGATTTTTCAAAATTGAAACGCATGAATGGAACTAATATTGCTAAATATTATGGAAATGATGTGGCCACACCTATTGTGAGTCTGGATGCTACATTTGATGAGGTAGATTCTAATGGAAATATTGAGGTTTACCCAGGTCAAGCATTCCAAATTAATTTTTTCCCAAGAGACAAGTTCAATCAGAGCACCTCTTATTTATTGAATCAATATTTGTTTATCAATTCAGAAAAAGGTCATTTTACAATCTCTCAGAATTTTTTAGATGGAATCCATTCTATTCCAGTAGTTTTGCAAATATTTCCAATTGACGACTACAACCCATCATTGCCACCACTTGTAATATTGATTTCTTCAAAAATTGAAATCAAAATTCCTGTAAATATTCTCCCATGTCCAGATAGTTCTTTCCTGAAATTATCTCAAAATGGACATTACTGTGAACAAATTCCATTAGCAGCGATTCTGTCATCTGTAATTTTGGGAATTATTTTGATAACCATTATATTGGCAGCATTAATAGTGATAGCTAGGAAATTATTGAAATTGAGAAAACAGGAACGTGCTGAAAAGAAAATGGAGCTATTGTTCAAAGATAAGGAATTTATATTCGAAACAGAACAAGCACCTCTATTACTTTCTAATACCATCAACAGTAGTGATTCAGGTGAAAGTAGATCAATAATTGGAAACAGGCAACAATACATCATTCCAATTTCTGAAATTAATATTTTGAAAAGAATAGGAGAAGGTGGAATGGGTGTCGTATATCACGCGAAGTGGAATCGAACTGATGTTGCCATCAAACAATTGAAAACAGATTCCAATGATGAAGAATTCGAAAATGAAGCAATTTTAATGAGCTCACTTCGACATCCATGTATTGTGAGCTGTTTTGGAGTTTCTCTGACAACCAATGGAAAATATATGATTGTAGAATATTTGGAAAATGGAAGTCTAGAAAAGGCAATTTATAATTCAAAGATGGGAAGAGCAATTTTGAGATTTGAAACCAAGTTGAAAATATTAACTGATGTTGCCAAAGGATTAGTTTATTTACATTCAATCAAACCTCATAGAATTATTCATAGGTATGTTTACTACTTTTATTGGAATAGATATTAATTATGGAATAGAGATTTGAAACCAGGAAATTTATTACTCGATAAGAATATGAATGCAAAAGTTGGGGATTTTGGATTGAGCAAAATTGTTTCGAATAATTCTGCAACAATGACAGCAAATGTAGGAACTTTACTTTACATGGTAAGTCTAGATAATTTCACAAATTGAATTAAATTGTTATCAATTTAGGCGCCAGTAAGTAATTTCGAAATTTAATTTATTAAAATTTCGAATATTTTACAATAGGAATTACTTTCGAATGATCACAAAGGTCAAAGTACAAAAGTGGACGTTTATTCATTTGGAATTATTATGTGGGAAATTTTATTCGAAGAATCACCATTTTCAAATGAAATTGATGGTTTCACTAATGTTTTCCAAATATTGAAGAAAGTTACAAAAGGTCATCGACCACCCTTACTATTCGAAACTAGTGCTTTATTGGAGGCAGATAGAAATCAGAAAGTTGATGAATGGATTGATCATAACTTTACAAAGAAACAAATCGAAACTATTGGAAAGGAAAATATTTCTAAATTATATGAATCATATATAGAAATTATGGAACACTGTTGGAATCATGACGCATCTAAAAGACCTGAATTTATTGAAATTACAGATCAATTAGAAACCTTGCAATCGAACTTTGCTTAATTTCCTTTTCCAATCTTTTTTCAAAGGTTTATTATTTCTTATTATTATTAATGTCACTAAATTCATAGATTCCATTTCCATATTGTGCCATTTCTTGCATGTTAGGTGCAGAACCTGACCCAATTCCAGTAAAATGGAATGCATCTCTAATAGATTTAAAGGCATCAACAGAGCTGATATCCTGAATATGACCATCACACATAATCAAAATATTTTCAATCTTTGGAAATTTCCTAAAAGTTTGGTTTAGGGCTTGTTTAAGCAAAGTATTACCCAATAATGGAACTGACCACACATTAAGAAATTGGTTTAGAGCATCCAAATCAGTAGGTTCAATTGTGTCTCCGTGTTTAAACCACTCAGTTGTAGATCCCCATAAGGCAATGGAAATTTTTAGATCTCCAGTATTAAACGCCTTGGATTGAACAAAATTATTAAAACAATCAATTAAAGTTTTGAAAGGAGATCCTTTCATTGATACGGAAGCATCACCCAGAATAACAATCTGGCCCTCTTCAATGATAGATGATCCAGCAAGTTTTGAATTCTTACTGGTTGTCTTGAGAGAGGTATTGATTTTCAAAGCATCTGCTCTAGTGGTCACTTGAGCTGGTTCAATAATCTTTGAATTCACCTCGATACCAAAAGAAGGTATTTTCCTTTGGAACATTGTGCTTTGAGCGTTTAATATTGGTTCTGGCATCAGGTTATTATGATTATGATCCATGGACCTACTACTTACTTTTCAGCATCTTTGTTCTTCTTGTCAATGTCTTCTACGTTGTTCTTGACAGCTACAGTTGCAAAGACATCATCAAGTTGGAGATCTTTGAGCTGTTAGAACCCTCTCCACTTTTAAACTTTTCCTGCATAGCTTTAATGCTACCTCTTCTTTTTGACAATTCAGTTACTTCCTCTCTTTCCTTGGTAATTGGACTGCTTGAAGTAGAAGCAATCAAAGGAACTTGAAGTAATGATGGCCTGACTGGAGTCCTCAAATACTTTTGATCAGTTTCATTGCTTGGCTTTTTCTCAAATTGTTGGGAAAGATTTTTAACACTGTTTGTTGTTGGTATCATGTTAGAGTTGATTTTTTTTGATCATTATTTTCCATGACAGCAAGTCAAATGAAAGAATTTCAAATAATTATTGTAAACTGATTTTTTAGCAAATTTGCACCAACCTACCCTGTTTGATGGAAAAGAGCAACCAATCCCCAAACAGAAATAAATCAAACATGTCTATGCTGACCTTATTTCATAATTTTCTGGAAACTAAAGGCAAGAAATAGTACTCTAGTACCGATAATAATTCTTTACAATCTTTTACTACAGTTTTCATGTCAAATCACCTGATAAATTTATCAACCATGTTCCATTCCGACCAAATTGTAATCCAACATCTCAGTTCTTGAGTGAGTAAAGGAGTTGTTCGCGAAAATTAAATTGATGATGGAAAGCAAGAAAGGATGCTAAATATTCTATTATACTATTACGAATATTCTTGTTGTTATTGGCTGATAATTTATTATTAATCTCCATTGAATATTATTCTTGATGATGAATTTAAAATCCAAGGAAGGCTTCCGAACAACATGTTTTTTCTTGATTGTTGCGCTTTCATTTTCCGTTACAAATTTGCAAATAAAAAATATTTCAAAATTAAAATCACTGATGATGAAGCCATCAATTATTTCAAATAATACTTGTATCTATTCCGTACAGTAATGATGATGAAACTGGCCAAAACTCTAGAAAGCCAGGAAGATCGGATTTTTTACTGTTAGCATTCTTCCGAACCTTCCTTTCTCTAAGCCTTCCTTTTTTCAACACCATCACAAAGCCTTGTTATAATAATTTAATAATTTGCAACGTTTATTCATCATCAAATTCCTTACTTTCAAAGCCATGAATCTTCATTCAGGCAACAAACCTTCCTCCTTTATCACAACAATTAATCATCAATTCTACAACATATGATCTTATATTCAATTGTTCATAGATGAAATAATTGCCCTTCATCACAAAAATTAATCATATCAATTCTACAACTTGTGATCTTATATTAAATTGTTCATAGATGAAATAATTGATCAGCCTCGGCAAATTAGATTAGTCCCCACCTTCACAATGGCATAAACAATCTCATCATTAGCAACCAACTTTCTATTATGTTGCAAAAGGGCCTGAAAAAGATCTTGAAAATTCGCGAAAGATTTTCGCTTATTTTTACAATGAACACTCGATTCGGATTTTTGAGGAGAATAACAAGCAAGAAATTGAGCGAGTACAGAGATAAGCTATTTTGTAAACTCGAGTTGTCTGTATTGGTTGGCGACTTTTAGGATTAATTTGGCCAGTAGGAAGTGTTCACCTACTCTCTCTCTTTCCACAACTGCAGTTGTTGTTGTGAAAACATTTCACAAACAAAAAAACACAACGAAAACACACTTGTCAATTTGTTGCTGTTGATCAAAGAATTTCAAATTTTGTAAAATAGGTAAGCTAATTTGAAAAGAGCTTCTTGAGATTTATAATTTGATCAAACTATTTATGAAACCAAACACCAATGTGGATCATTATCAAAAAAAGGACCACATCAAGTCAATCACAACAAGAATGAAGAAAGTTTGTTTATCCAAGTCAACTTCATCCTCTACCTCTGCCAAACTCAATTTTGCTATTCAAAAGCATAAGAAGAATGGTAATTCATCTTCAATCTTTAACAGATCTACTCCAATTTCCTTCTCCAACACTGACTATATTCAACAATTATATCGTCAATATGGAACCACAAGAATCTCCTTGAAGGAATTTGAAAAGTTGCTTGTGGCCAACAGAGGTGAAATTGCCACGAGAATTTTACGTTCTGCCCACGAAATTGGTTGCAGAACTGTTTCGATTTATGCAAAACAAGATGCTTCCTCTGTGCATCGTTACAAAGCAGATGGTAAGTTGTTTTATTTGAATATGTTATTATAATAATTGATCGTATTTTGTAATAATATTTGATGAAATAATTGTAAAAATTCCGATCAATAGAAAGTTACTTGATCGGAAAGGACAAGGAATTAGGTCCAGTTGAAGCTTACTTGAGCATTGATGAGATTATTAAAATTGCCAAGGAGAATGGAGTTGATGCCATTCACCCTGGTTATGGATTTCTTTCAGAGAGAGCTGATTTTGCACGTGCTTGTTCTGAAAATGGTATTCAATTCATTGGTCCAGTAAGTATTTCATGTGATTGCAATAATATATTTAACAAATTGTTGGTAGACTGCTGATGTTGTTGAATCTTTTGGTGACAAGACAAGAGCTAGAAAGGTTGCTACTGATATTGGAATTCCTGTTGTTCCTGGAACTCCAACTGTAAGTATTCTATACTTCTTTAATCCTTAATCGATTGTAAATTATTCAAATAACTTATGTTCATTCCTATTTATAATGAACTTGTCCAATTGACCAAAATATTAAGGCAGTAACAAGTATTGCAGAAGCCAAAACCTTCTGCTCCCAAATTTCCTTCCCAGTCATTTTGAAAGCTGCCATGGGAGGTGGTGGAAGAGGTATGAGAGTTGTTTCCAAAATGGAAGATTTAGAAGAAGCATTCCAAAGAGCTTCCTCTGAAGCTTTGAATGCTTTTGGTTCTTCAGCAATTTTCATTGAAAAGTTTGTTGAAAAGCCACGTCACATTGAGGTTCAAATCTTGGCCGATAAGTTTGGAAATGTTGTTCACTTGTACGAAAGAGATTGTTCAGTGCAAAGAAGACATCAAAAAGTTGTTGAAATTGCTCCAGCTCCACATTTGAATCCTCAAGTGAGAGAAAAGATTTTGGCTGATGCTGTTCGTCTTGCTCGCCACGTCAAGTATCAAAATGCAGGAACATTTGAGTTTTTAGTCGATTCTAATGGAAAGGATTATTACTTTATTGAAGTCAATCCACGTCTTCAAGTCGAACACACTGTTACTGAAGAAATTACAGGTGTTGACATTGTCCGTTCTCAAATCTTAATTGCCGAAGGAAAGAGTTTGGACGAAATTGGTTTAAAACAAGAAAGCATTTCAGTCAGAGGTTCTGCCATTCAATGTAGAGTTACCACTGAAGATCCATTGAATGGATTCCAACCAGATACTGGTGTATTGGAAGCTTTCAGAACTGGTGAAGGTATGGGTATTCGTTTGGATATTGGTTCTGGTTATGTTGGATCAAAGGTTTGTTTTTTTAACACTTTACAAAATATTTAATTCTTCTCGTTCTTTCACATCAATAGATTACACCATTCTATGATTCGCTCCTTGTCAAGGTCATTGGTAAAGGTCTCACTCATGAAGAAGCTTCCAACAAATTGAGACGTGCCTTGGCTGAATTCAGAATTCGTGGTGTCAAACACAATATTCCATTCTTGCAAAAGGTCTTATCTCATGAAAAGTTCTTAAATGGTTATGTTGACACCTCATTCATTGATACTAACCCAGAACTCTTCCAATTCTCATCCAGTGGTAACAGAGCTCAAAAGCTCTTATCATTCTTGGCTGAAAATGTTGTCAATGGACCAACTACATTACTCGTCACTGATTTGGAACCATCCAAGAAGAATCCAACTGTTCCAAAGACACCTACTGGTGCTCCTCCACGTGGCTGGAAACAAGTTCTCGATGAACAAGGTCCTGAAGCATTTGCAAAGGCCATTCGTGATAGAAGTGAATTGCTCATTACTGACACAACCATGAGAGATGCTCACCAAAGTTTATTGGCAACTCGTGTCAGAACCAGAGATTTAATGTCTATTGCTCCATATACTGCTCACGCCATGTCAGATTGTCTTTCATTGGAAATGGGAGGTGGTGCAACCTTTGATGTTTGTTTGAACTTTTTGAGAGAATGTCCATTCGAAAGATTGGCTAAGTTGAGAGAAGCCATTCCTAACATTCCATTCCAAATGTTATTCAGAGGTGCAAATGCTGTTGGTTACACTGCTTATCCAGATAATGTTGTTTACAAATATTGTAAGAAAACAGTTGAACATGGTATGGACATTTTCAGAATCTTTGACTCATTGAACTATGTTCCAAATATGGAGTTGGGTATTGATGCTGTTGGTAGCGCTGGTGGCGTTATTGAAGCAGCCATTAGTTATACAGGAGATGTCAGTGATCCTAAAAAGTCCAAGTATAATTTGGAATATTATTTGAAAGTTGCCAGATCACTTGTTGAAAAGGGAGTTCACATTTTGTGTATCAAAGACATGGCTGGTTTGTTGAGACCTAGTGCAGCAACCTTATTGATTGGTGCTTTGAGAAAGGAATTCCCACACATTCCAATTCATCTTCACACTCACGATACTGCAGGAACTGGTGTTGCTACTTTATTGGCAGCTGCTGAAGCTGGTGCTGATATTGTTGACGCTGCTATTGATAGCATGTCAGGATTGACTAGTCAACCTAGTTTGGGAGCTATTGTTGCTTCATTGAAGAACACTCCATTGGATACTAAATTGGATTTGGGTAAACTCTCCAAAGTTTCTGATTATTGGGAACAAGCCAGAGGATTGTATGCTCCATTCGAATGTACTACTACTTTGCGTTCTGGTTCTAGTGATGTTTATGTCCATGAAATTCCAGGAGGTCAATATACCAATTTGAATGCTCAAGTTTATTCCATCAATGGTTCACTTGGTAAGTTTAATTTTTTTACTTTCTAATAGCTAATTATTGTTTTTTTAAATATGAATATAATTTCAGATGGATTCCCTAAGGTTAAGGAATCATATGAAATTGCCAATAGATTATTGGGAGATATCATCAAGGTCACACCAAGTAGTAAGGTTGTCGGTGATTTGGCTCAATTCATGGTTCAAAACAACTTGGCTGAAAAGGATGTTATTGAAAAGGCCGATCAATTGTCATTCCCTAACTCTGTTCTCGAATATTTTGAAGTAAATTGGGTATTCCATATGGTGGTTTCCCAGAACCTTTGAGAACCAAGGTTATGAGAGGAAAACCATCCATTGAAGGAAGACCAGGTGCTAGCATGCCAGATTTTGACTTTGTCAAGTTGAAGGACAAGTTGAAGAAGGATTTGGATTATGATGCCTCTGAAGAAGATTTGATTTCTTCATCTCTCTTCCCAAAGGTATTTGAGGAATATGTTCAATTCAAACAACAATATGGTGAGGTCACTAATTTGGGAACTCGTCAATACTTTAAGGGAATTAAAGTTGGTGAAGAAACTGAAGTTGAATTAGAAAAGGGTAAAGTCTTACATATCAAATTGAAGGCCATTGGAGAAGTTGGAAGTGATGGTAAGAGAGAAGTTTTCTTTGAAGTAAATGGTCAATCACGTCTTGTTTTGGTTCAAGATAAGAAACTCTCCAAGACTATTCAAATCAGATCAAAGGCCAATAAGAAGGATCCAAATGAAATTGGAGCACCAATGCCAGGTAAAGTTATTGACATTAAAGTCAAGGAAGGTGATAAGGTCAAGAAGGGAGATACTTTATTGGTCCAAAGTGCCATGAAGATGGAAACTCAAGTCAAGTGTAACTTTGATGGTATTATCAAATCACTTGGTGTTAAGGTTGGTGATGAAGTTCAAGGTGGAGATTTGTTATGTATTGTTTCTCAATAAATTATTATTATCTTTCGTTAAAATTGGCTTGACTGGAGCAAATTTGTCTTACATCGACTTGATATTTCAGAATACATTTCAGAATACCAACTTTCTGGCAGGGCACCTTGGAGAGCCATTTTGTTCATCAGTTCGGTATCATCCAAATATTTCAAATTTCCCAATCCAAATAATTGTTCTTTTCGTTGATTGAATTCTTGTTGTGAGAAACGCCACATGAAACCCTTCTCCCTGGCCAAGTTTACAAAGAAATAATCGTCAATGAGTGAGGGATGGACATATCTCAGAACTGCAATGTTTTCCTGAACTAATTCTTTGACTAGCTCTAGATTAGTTTGAAGCTCTTCGGAGGCGTATTCAATTGAGCGAGGTTGATTTTTGACAGCCTCTGTGAGGATTTCAAAGTTATTGATAATTTTTGGATAGGATTTTAGATATTTCAAAATCAAGCCATTAATGGAGGCAAATCTTAATATGAGATCAGGAGATCTCTTAACTTTTCTATGAACAAATTCGAATAATCTGATATCCTTTCGAATAACATATTCTATAATATCCAAATCCCTTTTAATGAATCCAGGAGCAACTCTGAAAGCTTGAGGATTGACCATTATCAACCTACGCATAAATCTTCCACTATTTCTGAGTTTCTTTGAAATACTTGGCACTAAACCAGGAGACAACACACAAGCCATGTGTATAATTTCTCTATCTTCTGAAAATTCAGATAAAATAATTTCCAAAAATGTTTTACACGACCCAATCAATTGTGTGTAATTTTCCATGATTTTCAGAATGAGATCTCTATTATCCTCAATGAAAAATTCAACAGGTATATATGAAATAGCCTTTGGATATTGTCTCAATAGTTCCATTACAATATCTGGATCGAAGGAGAAAGGTTTCGGCAGTGAGAAATAATTAATGGCATCATGGCAGACCAATTGTAAAGCATCCAATCTCTTAATGGACTTGTTTTTGAGAGGTTTCACTGTAATGGGACGATCCATAAATATCTTTTCAAGGTTAATTTCATCAGTGATAATTTGAAATTGTTGAATGGCAGGTGAATTTCTAAACAATTTACTGACAGCTCGCTGGATTTCAGGACTGAGTGCATAATTATATGTAAAATAGTCATGAGTAGTGAAAAACTTGGCCAGGAATGTAAAACTCTTCGAATACTCAATTGGAATGTAATCATAATCTCTCGACATGTCCTTCCAAAATTTTCTGGGAAGAGAAAACTTCTCTCGGAGCCAACTAAATTGTTCCGAATACTTTTCCTGACAAAAATCTATAAGTATAACAACTGTAGAATAATCAGTGTTATTCCCAACCGATGCCGATGAAGAATATTTGGTAAATTTGGTCGACGGTTGGAATTCGTTTTTTTCGAGTTGATTTTCTGCTGTTCGCTTTTTGTGCATTTTTTTGGTTTTTTTTGGAATTTTGTTTTGTTTGAAGGTTTGCAGAAAATTTTGCAAAACTCAAATTGTCAATAATCAAATGAATTAATGAAGAAATAATTGATTTTAAAATCATGGAGTTGTAGATATTTGTGTAACTTAAAGATTGAATGCAAAAAATCTTGGTGGTTTATTGCTTGGTATTGAGTAATGCAACCATGAATGTCCAAGCAACTTTTGTGGCCACAGTCAACCCATTAGTGCCAAAGAAATACCACAAAATCAGCCCAAGAATTGAACAATAGAGAATAATTCTCCAAACAACAAATCCAACCATTTTAAAAAACAATCTTCTCATCAAACTAACTATTGGCTCAATAACAATTTTGGCAGATCTCAAAAACTTGAATGTCAACCTAGTGTTGATGTTTTCCATTGCATTCTTTGCATTTTCTTTTTGAGCTGGTTCTGAGAATCGACGTAAGCTAGAGGAAAATTGATAGTGTTGAGGCAATGAACTGAATTTTGTAAAGGAAATCAACTTTTTGGATGAAATCAAACCAATCAAAGATGATTTTTGATTGTGGGAAGCAAATCTTGACCGTGTGAATAAAGAACGACTTGGTTTAAAGTGTGAAAGCATTTTTTTGATTCTTGTTTTTCTGGATCTTTTAAATACAGAGCTCAATCAAATAGAAGCAAATTGATTGAATTTTACAAAAAACTTGCTTTCCAGGAGTTTTTAAAGGAATAGAAATTTATCTTTACAGGAATGATCACAGCTCTCAACATTTTGTCCACATAAGCTGATGAAAGAAGGAAACAACCACAAAAATTGATTGGAAACTTTATTTACTTTCCTTTTCATTCTTGGCATCACCAGATGCAGTGAAAATGGCCACAATAAACACCCATGCCAATGTCAATGCCGTCGTCACACCAGAACTTCCAAAATAAAACCAAACAATGCAAAGAATTGGCACCACAAATATCAACAATCTCCACAATATCATTGAGGCCATTTCCTCCAAGAATTCTCCAATAAATTCCATAACATTTCTAATGAATGATTTCTTTTCCTCTCGAGGCACAGCAGCATCCTTATTTTCATCAACATTGGTTGGTTTTTCAGCTGCCTGATTTCTCCTTATAATTGATGAAGAAAATTGACGATTCGGATTGATTAATGATTGAATATTTGCCAATCTTTTAAAAATTGATTTAAATTGCTGCTGATGATGATTATAATGACATAATCTCATGGAAGCCGAAGCAGTAACAGAGGATGAAGATAACAATGATGATGGAAATTTAGTGGTGAGCTTTCGCAACATTTTTTTTTATTAATAATTTTCTCTGATTTTTGATATTTCCAATTGAAATCAAATAAAAGCGAGCTTTGTTATTGGAACTTGTTTTAACGAAGCAATTCAATCAATAAAGTTGGGAATTGCAAAGTTAAAATGTAACCAATCAATTTCCTTTGAAAAATTGCTCCACTTTTTACTGGAATTGTAGTTCACATTTCACAATGATATGAATATTTTACAATAAGAGTTACCAGTATGCTGCAGAGAACACAATATTAATTATTGCTACATTTACAATTTTAAATGGTGGGTAAAAGGAAATTTGTTTCGCTGTTTCATCATTCAATTGTCAAGGAAATATCATTTGTTGTGTAACAATCTCATAATAATATTGCCAATATGACCACAGCCAACAAATAGCATTTCCAATAACAAAAAATGTCCAAAGTTGCTTTTACCATTGTCCTTGCCGATCAAAAAGCTGGCTACGCCAATGAAAACGTTGCTGGTAACTTGTTCAGTGAGCATGGCTTTACCAGTGCAGGCTATTACGACACTTTGCTAATTTCACAAAATAACATTCAACAATTAATGATGAATGCCATTACAAGAAAGATGGAGCAAGTATTCATCTATTTTTATGGACCATCCAATGGATTAACCTTGCCATTACTCAATAATCCACCTCTGGATGTTCAATTCTTTGAACAATTATTTACTCAATTCCCAAAAATCAAATTTACCATCATTTTGGACACTCATGATGGTTCAAAGGAAATTTTAGAGTATTTCACACAAAATAAGGCCAATATTCCAGCTTTATTTACCATTTTGGGAACCAATACACATGTTAAAAAACCAGGTTTTCTTCAAACATTTGCTGAAGAATTGAACAAACTCAAAACTCCACACGAAAAGAGAAAGGAAGCATTCAATATTTTCAGGCAAGTGACAAAAGGAGAGGTTGTTTCCAATCATGATGGACATTTCCTTGCAGACAAATAAACAAGTGAATTTTCTTGTGCAAAACTCTGGTAATAAAATCTTTGGATGGCTCGCCACGTTTACCGTCTCGGGAGGAATCGAACCTCCGTCAATGGATTCAAAGTCCACTATGCTACCATTACACCACGAGACGAGCACATTAATTTGAGAACCTTAATGGATATTGAGGAATCAAAACAAAGTTTTCGTTGAATTCAACAACACACACATTGATGAGGGATTGACAGCTTTATCGGATATGATGTGGATGGAATGTTGGTTGTACTTTTCCGGTAGAAGGAATTAATTATTCTTGAAGGATATTGTTAATACGGTGGTTGTCGCTTCTTGTTGAACGTAACTGGAGTGTTTAAATAATGTTGTTTTTCAAAAGATGAATCACACTCATCCACTAATTATTGTTTTGTTACCATCATCATTAAAATTCATCTCGATGCATTAACGATATTTTTTAAAATATTAAAAAAATCTTCACAATACGTCCACATATTTATTATTAATATCATCTTTGTTGTATCATCATGTAACAGATCTACAGAAAAATTAAGGAAGAGGGATTAGAATTTTGAGAGATTCGCTATGGGTCAATCATCATGAACAGAATCTTTTGGCTCATTCGGATTTCCAACATCAAGCATCATAGCTTTGCCTCAATAACAATGAAGAAAAGAGAGTACAAAAAAAGAAGTTTAAAGGTCCTTATGCCGCCTAATACCTCCGACTAACTAGGAAAATTAGAAAATACTAGATTAACTCTTCAAGCAACCTGGAACAATCAATCAAACAACCTAACAAAAAAAAAGATAATCACAGTTGACCTGCTCATCATCTAGAATGCGAACAATTTTTGTGATATGCATTGCTGTTGTGGCATGGTTTATTCTTCTCTTTCTAACAAGTGAAATCCACTGTCAAACTGTCAAGTATTCATTCACTGTTTATCAGAAGGATTTGTCAGGGCCATATTGTGCAGCAAAATCTCCAAATAGTGATGCTGTATACATGTCTGAATATAGTGGACATCGTGTGAAGAAGAAATCCTATCTAGGTCTTGTTGTTATTGCAGGAACAGGATATGAGGGTTTTAATGGTGACATTTTGGCCAAACAGGCCAAACTGGATAATCCTGGAGGTGTTCTAGAATATAACAATGAGCTGTATATTATGGACTATGGAAATAATAGAGTGAGAAAGATTAACAGTGAAGGTGTTCTGGTAACAATTGCTGGAACTGGTACACGATCTTCAGCAGGTGACAGTAAGTTTTATTTCACACAATTGAATAGACATTCTTTCTTCTTGGCATCATAATCTCACACATTAAAGATGGTGCAGCTACTTCAGCATCTCTCAATGGACCTTGGGGTATTCATATACCAAGCAATGGAGATATATACATTACAGAATATGTCGGAAATAAGATAAGAAAGATTAGTGCATCTGATAATAAGATTTACCTGGGTAAGTGTTTTCAAAGATTATTGTTTATTCATTCCGAAATAATTAGTGGCTGGAACAGGATCATATGATTTTTCTGGAGATGGTGGCAATGCTGTTAGTGCAAAATTGAAGAGCCCTTGGAGTGTCTTTGTAAATGCAATTGGTGAAATATTTATTGCTGATACGGATAATGACAGAATTAGAAAAATTGCAACAAATGGAATTATAACAACTATTGCTGGCTCTGGATCGAGTACTAGTGATGGAGTTCTAGCAACTACAGCTTCTTTGAAAAAACCAACCTCTGTCTTTATTTCACCAGCAAATGAACTATTCATTGCAGGTATGTGTTTTCACAATTTCATTAATGAATTTTAACATGTCTATTAGAGGCTGATGGTGGTAGAATCAGAAAGGTCGATCTGTCAACAATGAAAATTTACACAGTTACTAGTTCACTGAATTATCCAACATTTGCATTTGTTGCTGAAAATAGTGATCTATATATTACAGAGAAAAACAACAACCAAATCAGACTTGGAACAGCTTATTGTGATAGTGGTTATCAAATTAATTCGAATGGAACTATTTGTAATCCAGTGTGTAATTCACAAATTGGAAGAGCTGGATGCAGTAATCATGGATCATGTACTAGTCCTAATACTTGTACATGTGATACTGGTTATACATTATCTGACTGTTCTCAACCTATTTGTTATGGAAAATATGGAAGTACTGCTTGTAGTGGAGCAAATCAAGGAACTTGCTCTGCTCCAGATACTTGTCAATGTAAGAATGGATTTTCTGGAAGTGATTGTAGTGTTTATTATTGTGGAGGGGTTGTTGCAAGCTCAGCAGGTGTCTGTTCAGGTAAAGGAACATGCTCTGCTCCAGAAACTTGTTCTTGCCAAACAGATTACGTTGGATCAGTATGTCAATATCCTGTGTGTAACAGCATTCCTTCAAATAACCCAAATGTTTGCAGTGGTGGTGGTACATGTACTTCTCCAAATTCATGCCAATGCTTTACAAACTATTCAGGAACTCAATGTCAGTACACTACTTGTTCTGGAATAGATAGTACCAATTCGAATGTGTGCTCTGGTAGAGGAAGTTGTGCAAAATATAATAATTGCACATGCACAGCCAACTTCTTTGGCTCAAATTGTGAGCTCACTCAATGTTATGGAATTATTTCAAATTCAGCTTCCACATGCGCTTCACATGGTAGATGTGATGGCTACAATAAGTGTACATGTGATTCTAATTATTTTGGATTGGACTGTAGTGTAACAAGTTGTTATGGAGTGTGGAGTAATACTTCTAGTGTTTGTACTGCACCAAACAGAGGTACTTGCAATTCCTACAATAATTGTACCTGTACAAACTCGTATTATGGAACTCAATGTCAAGATTATGATTGCTTTGGAATTAACAAATCTAATAGCTCAGTATGTTCTGGTAAAGGAGCATGTTCTGCACCAAATACTTGTTTGTGCTCTGATTCTAATTACTCTGGTTCTAATTGTGATGCAGCTGTGTGTTATGGAATTTCAGCAAATGACTCTAGAGTTTGTTCTGGATCAAGAGGTGCCTGTAACTCTCCAAACACTTGCTCATGTTTTTCAAATTATTTTGGACCTCAATGTCAATATACACAATGTTATGGTATTGACAGTTCCAACACAACTCATGTTTGTTCTGGTAGAGGTACTTGTTCTGATTTCAATAAGTGTGTTTGTAAAGATGGATACTATGGATCCAATTGTCAACTCAGCAAGTGTTTTGGAGTTTTATCAAATAGCTCAAATGTTTGCTCAGGTCACGGAACTTGTTCGGATACAGATACTTGTAATTGTGATTCTAATTATTCAGGTAAAAATTGTGATATTACATCATGTTATGGAACCTCAAGTACAAATCCACTGGCATGTTCATCTCATGGCTTTTGCTCGTCCTATAATAATTGCACCTGTTCATCAAACTATTACAGCCAACAATGTCAAGAGTTCAATTGTTTTGGTGTGAATAAGGCATCTACAAGTGTATGTTCTGGTCATGGTACTTGTTCAGATATTGATACATGCTCCTGTACAGGAAACTGGATTGGAGGAAATTGTAATCTCACAACCTGTAATGGTGTTTGGAATTATAATTCATCTGTTTGTTCTGGAAACGGTGTTTGCTCATCTCTGAATAATTGTACATGTAATGTAGGATATTATGGTGCTAATTGTGATTCCTTTGATTGTTTTGGATCTGTATTTACAAACGAAGGTATTTGTGCAAACAATGGTTCTTGTACAGGTCCTGGTGTTTGTTCCTGTATTGATGGATATTCTGGATCTCGCTGCCAATATCCTATTTGTTATGGCATTAGTGGTGGTAGCTCAAGTGTCTGTTCTGGAAATGGACAATGTATTGATAGGAATATATGTTCGTGCAGTGCTGGATGGACTGAAAACACTTGTAATGTGACAACATGTTCTGGTAAAAGAAGTGATAATTCATTAGTTTGCAGCTCTCAAGGTTCATGTGTGGGACCAGATAATTGTTATTGTAACAAAGGTTACACTGGACCTAATTGTGAATTTAATGTCTGTTATGGAAAGAGTCAGAATGATTCTTCAGTTTGTTTAGGCAGAGGTAAATGTTTGAAACCAGGCGAATGTACTTGTAATACTGGATTTAGAGGTACAGAATGTCAATATTATCAAATTGATTTTGATGAGAAATTGGCCACTCTCAAGCCAACCCTAACTTCAGTTCTACAATATTCATACCTTTTCAATGGAACATGTGAAACCTTATTCGAAAGTAGTGATTTACCAATAATTGGTGAATCTCCAATATGTTTATGGGATAGTAGCAAGATGATTATTTATTTAGGTTTTGGAACTCATCTTCAAACTGGCAATTTACTAAGAGTGAAGAATAGCAACTTAGCATTCTTTGTTGATACAAGCAACTCTCTTTCCTATACTGGATCTGGTATTACGCTCAAGAAATTGATGACAAATGTTCCAACAAGTAATCCTTTACCTCTTAGACCTATTGTTGATAGCAATTTCCAATCCTACACCAATTTCTCAAGTTTAGTTTGGTCATGTATTAGTTGTTCTACAAGTTTGAATGATTACTTGAAATCTCAACAACGTGAATATCTCTACATTCCTCCATCCTACTTGAAATCTCTATCAGCATTATATCTGCAATTAGCAGTCTCAAATTTTGCTTCTAATTCCAAAGTTGCAAGTCTTTCATTTACGTTTTCTCAATCAGCTGCTCCTAATCTTGATTTAATTACTGACCTGAATAGTGATTCACAAATTTCTTGCACAGGATATGACTGTATTATAGAAACAGAACCAATTGGTTATGGAAACAATGCAGGATTATTCTTAGGTTCATACCCATCAATCAAATACAATGTCTACCTGTCCAGATTTTTCTACACAGACAGCAGTGGCATTTTGGGAAGTGGATCTACTACTGGAAGTGTCTTGCTATTGGCCAAACATACACAATCCACAACTTCAAAAGATTTCTTCATTCAATATTCATTCAATGCCTATGAAAATAAGCTTCCTGTTGTTATTTCAGCAACAAATCCTGTCTTTTCTCCTTCATCTTTCATTAGATTTAAGGCAACAATCTTCAATCCAATGGTATTCGTGAAAACCGTTCAAGATACATATTATCTTTGGAAACTCTTCAAATTTGACGAAACAGGAAAAGCTAAACAAATGAGCACTGAAATTTACATTGATCTGAATTATGATGAAGTAGTTGTACAGAGAGAATTGGAGGCAGGTACATATTTAGTGAGTCTTAATGCAGTAGCTGCTTATGGATCTACTCTCATGAATACTACCTTTACTGTATTGAACACAACAGATAGATTGGCTTCCATCAGTTTTTCTCCTGTGCCAACAATAGTTTCAATTTCAGAAGATTTGACAATTACTGCAACAATTAATGGAACCATAACATCATTTGAATGGATTCAAATTTCTGGAAGGATAAAACCATTGTGCTCTTTGCAAAAAGTAACAACACAACCAAGTGAAAATATTACACAAAGCGAATTGACTATAACCAGAGATTGTCTTTTTGAAGGTGAAATTTATATATTCAAGGTTGTTGCTAACAATTCAAATGGCATTTCGTCTTCAGCTGAAATTCAAACTCAAACAGATATCTCACCAAGTATTCATTGTGATTTTTATTCTACATCTGAAGATGGCTCTTTCGTTGCATTGGACAGCACCTTGCTAATGACATGTAGAAATGGAGCTAAGGATACTATCAAATCTTACACAGTTGAAATTCATTATAATGGAGAAAGAAAGTTTATTGTTTCCAATACTCAAAAGAGAAACCTCTATTTTAGAATGCCTTATCTAATTGAAGGAAGCCAATTGGTTGTCAGAGGTCTCAATTTTTATAATACTGAAGTCATTTACAGAAAGAATTTAACATCAACTCTGACTTCTACTGACAAGGTTCAACTCTTTATTGATGGTTATAATAGTATTACAACTAGTGAAACAACAAGTTATTTTGGAGCTATTAATTCTTTAAATTCTCTCTTGACATTATTTGAATACCAACAATTTGATTCGCTTGAAAATAAGAACTCTCTCCAAACTACTTTGAAATCCATGCTCAGCCTAATCTCTAATCTGAGAGCTACTGGTGTCAATGTTGATGACAAACTCACTGCTCTCTTACTTCCTCCAGTGTATAGAATTCACAAATACTTGGATAGTATTAATGGAACTAGATCAAGTGATGATTGGAGAGTTGATGATCTCCTTTCTTGGACATCTTACTTTACTGAGTCTATTCTCAACACCCTTCAATACTATTACTCAACTCAATGGAAATTCCTTATTGATCAAATTCATTTGAATGAATTGGATGAACTTATCGAACTTGGATCGAGTATGAATTCTGAAAAATTTGTTCTCGTTCAAGTTCAATATGAATTATTAACAGATAGCTTGAATGGAGTCGCATCTAAGAAATCACAAACACAGCTCTCTAATGGTATCTTGCTAAGAGAAAAATTGGACTCTGTCGATTCATTGAGAAGTCACATTATTAACTTGTACTATTCCAACACTAATGTTTCGATTCAATTCCCATCTGATGTTGCTGATACTTTAGCTTTTGGAGATACAACCACAGATAATTCACTCAATTCATTTGTTAAAGTTTCCAAGACTACAAACTCAAAGATTATTGGTGTCATGACAAGTGTCAATATTCAAACTCAAAAATTCAAAGAATTGGAAATCCAAAACCTTACCACCTCCATCAATATTGCATTCACAGGCTCTCAATATCCTTCCTCCAATGTAACTTGCAAATATTACAATTCCTCATCTCAAGAATGGCTCACTAATGGTGTTCAAACTTTGATTTCTTCTTCCAATAATTTGGTTACCATTTCTTGCTTGACAAATCACCTTACAACATTTGCAGTTTTCAAGAATGATATTATTTACATTCCACCTACAAATTCTACTACTAATGGCGTACAAACTTCTGATCCAGCTCTTGCAATTGCTCTTGGAATTATTCTTCCACTTTTGGCAATTGCAATAATTATTGTAATAATTATCATTGTTGTGATTCTGGTATTGAGATATAGAAAGAAGAAACTTTCCTCTGAAGTTTCCAATACTTCAGCCATTGAACTGAGAAATGAAAATAAGAGAGGATTATTCGATACTGACATTTCAGACTTCCCTTCAGAAGCAAGTGTCTATTTCAAACATTTGAATTCTTCCTCAATGGCTTCAACTGTTTCTTCCACATCTTCTTCTAATGATCCATTCTCTCGTTACAAGGACATGGTTAAAATTGGAGAAGGTGCTTTTGGTTCAGTCTTTAAAGTTATTGACACTAAAAATAACAATAAGGTGAAAGCCATCAAAGTTATTCGATACAAATCAGTGGAAGAATTAAACTCCATGATGAAAGAAGGAACTCAATTAATGAACATTAGCCATCCAAACATTCTCAAAGTGAATGATTTCTTTGTGGAAAAGGACAATTTACTATGTATTGACATGGATTTCTATCCACAAGGTGATTTGAGTACCTTAATCAACCAACAGGAAGATTGTAAAGAAGTACACATCAAGCAAATTATTTATCAAATGTGTCATGCTTTGCATTTCATTCACAATGATTTGAAATTAATTCACAGGTAAGTTTTTTAAGTTTTTTTATGGAATTTCAACAACAAATTCAATTCACAGAGATGTCAAACCTTCAAATATTTTCATCAAGGTATTAAACGGAAATGTCATCCATACAGTATTGGCAGACTTTGGTTTAGCAAAGGATAATAAGAATTCAGCAAGTATGAGCTTTGCTGGTACTCCACTCTGTAAGTATTTTCATAACTGTCAAAATTCATAAACATCAAATAGACATGAGCCCAGAATTGGCATTAGGAGGTAAATATTATGCCAACACAGATGAATACTCTCTCGGAGTGACTGTCTATCAATTAATTACCAAAGACACCATGACTGCCATCAGTCACTTGTACATGTCAAAAGACGCAAAAGAAGTACAAACTCTTACACGAAAACGTTTGAAGGAGAGTGGTGATTATTCTGATAGATTAATCGATATCTGTCTACAAATGTTGGAAAAGGATAACTGTGCACGTCCATACGCTCAAGATATTTTGGAAAATTCATACTTTAATGATATTAGAAAGATTAGATAACATGTTATTGAATAAACCAACACAATATTAGTAATATTTGTCATGATATCAAAATTTGCCAGGCTGTGTTGTGTTAAAACATCAACAATATTGTTGATGACATTTTGACGGTTGAAAGATATCATCTCACACACAAAACATATCATCACGAAATACAACAATTATCATCATCACAATACAACAACAATCAACAACTAAATTATATTTAAAAAGCTATTTTATTCTTCTGCACAAGTTTGCATCAAAATTATTGAGAAGCTTGATAAATCTTGAAACCCCACCAGATGGACCAGAACCAACCGATCAAGAAATAGGCCAAGATGAATTGGAGAATACCAACAATAATAGCTGGTGACTTCTTTTCAGCTTCTTGAGTCAAAACACCGGCAATGACGGTACCCCAACCTGGGAAGAAGATGTTCAAGATCAAGACGATCAAACCCATGGAGGATTCGACCTTTGGAGTGGAGTTGTTAATCATGTCCATTTTGAATTAGTTTTGTTGTTTTTTTTTGTGAATAGCAAATTGAGTTGAAATTTTTATTCGAAAGGTTGAAAAGGTTTTTGGGGGCGGTCAGTGAGATGGAGAGACTTCGCTTGGTGTTCATTGTTGGGTAACGGAAGTTCCAGTAAAAAGGTGTTTGTAATGATTGTAAACGATAATGAGAGATTTTGATTGGACGAAAGGAAGCGAATATTTAGGAAATATTTATCTGATTTGATTACTCTGTGTAATCGGAAGAAAGTTTTCTACGGAAACGAATGCTACCATTAATAGGAGTTGTTACGGTGACTTGTATTAGGTTTAGATATTGATATTAATAATAATAATAATAAGAATAATATTAAGAATGATATTTATTTAATATAATAATAATAATAATATTCGGGTGATGATGAAGGTGAGAAGAAAAAGTTTGATGAGGAGAAAAGGAAAAATAAAAAAGGCGGGAGATTGAAAGGTAATTGAATCATGAAGAGGAAATAATTAATTGATAGGAAAGAATCGTTTGATTATACACTGAATCAGAAATTTACAACCATCAAGTTCGACTTGAATGAAATGGATGCAGAAAAAATCTAAAGTGACAATTCTTAATTGTGTGGAAAATTTCGTTTACATGCCCTTTCATCCTGATTCTTAAGCACATGTGGAGATGCAGAAACAATTGAGAATTATGAATTTTGTTGTGGATACAATTCTTGTAAATTACAGATTGAAAATAACTAAATCAAGAAACTAACTTTACTATTCTATTTTGAGAATGAAATTGTATTTTTTAAAGAATGAAGTCTGAAAAGAGAGAACTAGAAAACATGATGGTACAAATTTGATAATATGACAAGGCCACACCCTTTGACAACATTGAGATAATACCAATCAGAAAAACTAACTTTGAAACATCTCCACCTTAACTCCATCTCTACTACCAATTGAAAGAAATTACAACTGTAGATGATTTTTTAAGCAATGGACTGATTTGTGCTCGTTCACCATTACCAAAATATCACCTGTCTCAATAACAATAATGCAATATTTCAAAAGGACAAATAGAGAGATTACAGTCATTGATGGGAACTTAATTCTCAAACACCAACATGTGACATTAATAGAGATTGACAACCATTCTAACCTATCAAACTAACCTCATACTTGGAGAAATTGCATAGACAGATAACCAAGACTAAAAGGAAAATTTTGGAAGGTTGCTTAATTTCTGTTTTAAAATTCCCAACTTGGCCTTATCGTTCATTAACCACACTAGTAGTGAGCTCCTATTACGATGTAAACGTCGAATGTCAGCACTAATTGTTAGTAAGGAAACTTTTATTTAGCCTATCTATGGATTTAATTACAAAAGTAAATTTACAGAATTGTAAGGATGCTCCAAAATTGTTTTTTTAAATGTTTTATTTACACGCGTATGGTTTTTAAGGTACAGTTACATTCGATGACTTCTTTCTCTGGTATTCTTCATACCAATTTCTGTTGAGCTTCAAGTTTTCTTCGACAGCTCTCATGTATTGGAAGTGATCGTTAATCTTGGTTGTATCTATTGATTTGGTTCCATTCTCTGTCTTGAGAGCTAGCAAAGTTTCAAAACCGTTTTGTAATTGTTTGCTTCTCTTCTTCCAAATTCTATTCAGTACAATATCAGAATCCATGATAACGTGAAGATCTGTATAAACAGTGTGGATGAATCTTGTTGAACGATCACCCATTCTATAGAACATGTAATTAAAAAGAATTTCAGCATCAACACGATCCTTTCTTGCAGGTCTGAGTGTTTCTTCAATATCACAAGTATGTCCAATATTCATGTAACAATTAATGGAAGGATCGTAAACAGAAGTCATGGTATGAGGCAAATCTCTATTCTTTAAAAGTGGAATGTGCATATCAATACCAAGAGCTCCAATTTGAAGAGCAAGTGGTGGATTGTCAACTGTATAATTCTCATCTCTATCTATTACATCTCTCATCGAGGAAGTTGTAATGTTTCTCTTCTCAATTGCTTCTGGAGATGGTGGAATATATCTGAGTAATTTAAAGTCCTTCATCAAGGTTTCATCAAGTGTAAATCTTGTATCCATATCACAATAGGTAGCCCAAACATCTTCAACTGCGTAAGGCAAATGCATTACAAGTTTGAACAGTTTCATACCCTTCATTCTATCCTGACCTATCACATAGGATGTCTTGGAGACAAAGGTTTGAAGCATGTTTGGTTTTTCACTATAGGTCAATTCTTTCCAATCAGGTGTGTCTTCAGCAAGAGTATAGGCAAAGAAAACGTCCTTCTCAGTCATGAGTTGTGACTTGAAATCGTTTGGTTTAAATCTTACATCAACACTGTAACCATTAGAAACGTTCAAAGCAATTGAACGAGTAAATTCTTCTCCCTTCTTCCACAAGAAGCTAATCAACAAGTGAGATCTAGCATATCTAGGAAATTGATCATACTATTATTATTATTATTGGTTAATATCTCTATAACAATTATTCTAAACTTACCTTCAGATCAAGAACTACATGTGAGACAATTCTATCAAAAAGTTCGAAAGGATCCAACAATGAAATCAATCCCAGAGGTTTCATATCATTCTGACTTATCAGTGTAGTAAGTCTATCGAAGATATCCAATGTTGGTTGATAGGTTGGCTTGCTGAGATTCAATTCCTTTGGTTTTCCTCCACCAATATATGTATCAATAATATTCTTCAAAGCATCAACGACAACACTCATCAATTTAATGCACTGTGTATCGAATTCCTTGTTTTGCAACTCTCCAGTCTCTGATCCTGGAGAAATACATGTATTGGTGTATTGAGTAATTTGCTCCTTTGTCTTTTTATATAAAGTTCTATAGGCATCGACATCATTCAGGAAGAGAATTGGTTCTTCATTGTGTGCTTGTTTTAAAAATTCATGAAAGTTATCCCTAGCTTCAGAAACTTTCATCAACTCTTCATAGACAACCATATAATTGTCAGTATTAAACTTGTTAGCCTTCCTAGACATATTCAACTATTATCTATATTCGATTCTTCAATAAATTAAATGAAATTCTTTAGCAGCAATAACAAAAGAGTATGTTCGTGCCCGTGATAATGTTTGCTGCACAATCTTCCGTAATGTAAAGAGTCAAATTGCGCTCTTTTTGTTTTTTTTAAAGTGTTGTTTTGCCCATTTTGCGTCGTGTTGAAGTTTTGATGATCTTTGTCAAGCAACCAACAAAAAAACAACAAAACGGCGGAAAATGATGGCGCTGAAAGCTAGGGAACGAAGCGTGGTGGAGGGAAAATATCGAAAATGACGCCAACACGTTGAATGGATTTTGGCAGTGAAATTGGATGCTTAACGAATTGTGTTTGTGACGGCTGTGGAAAGTGTTGAAAATCAGTGATGGATGACATTTTTGGGTGAGTCTTTGTTTGGGAAGACATGGATTAATATGGTTAACTGTTACGCAATGTAAGATTATATCAAAATATCAGTTGATAGAGCTCAAAAGTAGTAGGGAATGGATTAATACAACCATGTATCTATGTTTTTAAAACGAAACCTTACAATATTTCACAATTTTTTATATTGAATTTCAAGATTGACCAAATTTTTGTAAACTCTCATTTTCCCACCAAATTGTGATAATAATTGTGCTGTTAGGGAAGGTCGCATAAACAATACGAAAGTCTCTTCGTGGGGTGAAGAAACCACCAAAAAAAATGTCTCTAATCATTCCAATACTTTGTCAACTGGCTTACATTCCTTTTATTTACTGGTTCGTAGAGTTGGCACAGAATAATTTATACCTCAAACTCACTGGAGCGTAAGTTGTTAAATTTTCACAATGATATATATTAATATATGCCAAATGTCATCTTTGACACTTCATCATCATGATGATATTTGATTGTGTGGAACCAAACAACGCGCGTTTTGACAGTTACGGATGGATCTACCCAACCTCAGAATACAATTACTTTGAATTTGCTTCCATCAAATCGTGGGCAATTTTACCAATTTTATTTTGGTCAATTTATTACTTTTTCTTACTTCCAAAGAAGATCAATATCTGGTTGGGTTTTTTTATTAATGGAACAGCTGGTTACATTACTGAATTCATTGTTGGATATGTTTCGTCTGTAATCTTTCACGAAACTATGCAATATTGGCCTAATTCTAGATTTGCTTTTGTTGGAGGTTTGGGTTGTTATTTGTTGTGGCAATTTGATGCCATGCTTTACTATTTGTTAGTGTTCAAGATGCCAAACATTTTGATAAAGAGTTTAGAATCGTATAGTGAAAATACGAAATCAGTTTCTAGTGGAGGCTCCACTGCTAAGGTTCATCAAGTTAATCATTGATGAAAATGAGATGAATAAATAATCTATTGATTATTGTGAAAGTTTGTAACAAACCTTTCGTTTAGTTTTGGAAATAAATGGCGGAAAGGCTTCGATATCTTTTAGTAAAATCTGCCGAGCGTTTTGTTCATTTCAATCCAGATAATTCAAATACCGGTATCCTCTTCCATCTTTATCATTTAATTCAGAAAGAAAAGTTTGGTTTGTGTTAAAGAATGCAACTGTCAGTTAGTAAGCTAATAGTTAATATTTATATTTACAAAAAGTTAATATTCATACTGAAATGTAGCCCGTCTAGCTCAGTCGGTAGAGCGCAAGGCTCTTAACCTTGTGGTCGTGGGTTCGACCCCCACGGTGGGCGATTCTCTTTTTTCTCTTTTTTCTCTTTTGAAAAGAATAGTTTAATTTTTGGAGATATGAACTTTGCAAATATTGAGCTATTGATATGTAGCTTTTGAAAATTATTCCGTTTCTTGACTTTTTTCAATTCTAATAACAGCAAAATCCGTTTTCTCTGGTAATATTTCGGCAATCTTTGTATTTTGAGTAATGTTAGAGAATATGAGTGTTTGTATTCTTGTATATGATAGCATTTTAGCAATTTCTTTCAATTCTTGCTCAAATCCCATTCCCACCATAAAATCAATATCATCCAATACAAGTGAAATCAAATTGGAATGCATAAATCTTGTTGTACCGAATAGGTGGTCCAGTAAGCGACCTGGAGTGGCTATCACAACAGAACAACCCTTTCCAAGAGTTTCAACTTGTTCTTGTAGCGATTGAGCACCAACTAACAAACAAGAAGTTTGTGGCATAAATGTCATTAATGATTTACAAACAGCATGGGTTTGAATGGCCAATTCTCTAGTAGGACTCACAACAATAACACCTGTTCCATTTCTTGGTTTGAATTTAGCTCTATGTAATGCTTCCAGACATGGCAAGAGGAAAGCCAATGTTTTACCACTTCCAGTATTAGCTTGAACAAGTAAATCTTTACCATCCAAAGCAATTGGAATTGAATGGGATTGAACAGGTGTCATATAAGTAAAAGAAAGTTCTGATAGCGCTCTTGTGAGTGGTTCACACAAATCAAGATTAGTAAATTGGTCATCGGTTAAAAAAGTTGAATTGGATGTGTTTGTAGATATTTCTTCTTTGGCTTCAGAATTGCTGGTTTCCGATAATGATCCTACAACATCATTCTCTTCCAAAAGGTAGTTGAATGTAGACATTTTTTTTGTTTTCAACTCAACTGGCTTTTAGAAAATGTTCAATGCTTGTTCTTAATCCAACCATAGCATAAATAAATATATGGTGAATATATTTCTTATGAACAAGAAGCTGGCGTAGCTCAGTCGGTAGAGCGTTGGTCTAATAAGCCATTGGTCGCCGGTTCGATCCCGTCCGTCAGCAGTTAATTTTATGTTTTATTCCCAATCATATGGAATACTAACCCCATATGTCACTTCCGATTCTGGATATTTACAAATTGTATATGGAGTCTTATGAGGATGTTGTTTTAATTTCTCAAAAACATCATCAAAATCATCGTCCGAAAGAGAGAAGAATCTTACATAGTCCTTATTTTCACAAATATTGTGGAATTGATAATCTTGTCCTTCTTGAAACCAAAACTTTTGCTTTAAACTGTTCCGAATATTGGCCTTGTTGATAGATCCATTTTTAAAATCAATAAACAGGATGATGTGATACGTTGACATTTTTTTGATTGATTTCAAGTCCAATTTCTTTTTACAAGATTTCAAGAATGTCGGGTTTAACCGCTGTGTTTCATTTTGAAAATTGAAGTCTTTCAACAAGAATATATTAATCCTTGGAATGGATATCAACTTTACAACTTTATTTTACAATAATTTACAGGTCCAACATTTCCATACACTTTTCCTTGATTGGTACAATTCTATGAGCTCTTCTATCTATGGTTTCAATCTTTTCGACAATTTCCATACATTTCTTGTATTGTTGATCACTATAACACTCAACTGCATCAGCATACAAATCACAAACATTGATTTCTGCCTCTGGAGCGTTCTCAGTTTCACAAAGGAGCTCATAAATTACTAATGGCTTGGTCTTACCCTTAACAGTAACTGAATCTAATGGAACACAGAATAATCTATTCGAAACTTGAACATAAGTAGCTTGACTGATGGCAAGATAAGTTCCATAATTCTTATTAATTCCTTCAATACGAGAAGCAGAGTTGACATTATCACCCAATGCTGTATAATTCATTCTTTCAGGAGTACCAACATTTCCAATAAAGGCAGATCCTGTGTGAACTCCAATTCTTGTCTTGAATTCTGGAAGACCCTTCTTTTCCCATACTCTATATAGATCTTTCAATTCTTTTTGAATTCTGAGTGCTGAATTACATGCTTTGTAAGCATGATCTTCAATTGCGAATGGAGCATTCCAGAATGCCATGATAGCATCACCTAATTTCAATGTCAGTTATCAATGAATAATTGAAACTTACCAATAAATTTATCGACTGTACCTCCAGATTCAATAATGTGATGGGTTGCTCTTTCTAGATATTCAGAAAGACATTGAACAAGAGTATTAGGATCCATCTTTTCACAAATTGTTGTAAAGTTTTCAATATCTGAGAAGAGCAAGGTCACATTCAATTCTTGCACTCCAAGACATGCTTCCTTTGAACTTTCTAATAAAGCTTTTACAAGAGAGCTAGGAACATATTTGTTAAATGAACGAAGACCAAATTTCATCTTGTCAACAGCTAATTGAATTTCTTTGACTTCTGTCAAGAAACTTCTACGTTGTTTTTTTGAAGAAATTTCCAATCTAGCAATCTTGTTAATATCCTTACTAAGGGATGATAATGGAAAGGTAATCAACAAGGAGAACACAAAGACAACTGCAGCACCGAATATCATAATTCCCAAACTGATCAACAAACCATTTCTGAATTGAATCCAAATGTCTCCCAACACGTCAATTTGTGGAGAGAAGATTACAATAATCCAATCCATTCCATTAATTGAGGATGAGTAACTGTATGGAATGGCATTAACGTCAACATCATAACCGTTCCATTGAATACTAGTAGAAGCAGTTCCATTCAATTTCTTCAAATCATACAAACTTAATAATTTCTGGTAACCTTCTTTTACAAAAGTTGTGTTGCCTTCGAGTGGAGTTGTCTGAACTGGAATTCCATTCTTAATAATGTATGAAGGATCAGAAGGAGATGAAGAACCAATCAATAATCCGTTTCTGTCTATTAACATGGTCACTGCATTCTTTGAAACTGGTGTGCTTTGCATGAAACTTGATAATGACCTGCCGAATGTAACAGAAGACCAAGCATAGTGGAATTCTCCATCAACCCAAAAAGGAGTCACATACGAAATGTAAAAATCTGGATCGACCTGATTGTAACCAACATCCGTCCAACTTTCTTTTGGATTCGAAACATTCATCAATTTCCAATAGGGTGATTGAGTGTTATCAACACCAGGAACGTGTACAATCAAATTAACTTCACCACTTGGAGTAACCACAAAGAAATCAGCTCCTTCCTTTGACACAAAGAGTCCATTAGCAAAACTGTAAATGTTCTGAACTCCCCATGCATAGTAACCTGTCTTGTCTCCTACTGAAGTAAATATAGAATCTGGATTCATACCCTTGAAAACATTATACATGTGATTTACAACTAAAGTGGATTGATCTGTTGTGTTGAATAGTTAAAACTTAAAAAACAGTGCTCTACTTACTATGCAGATCCCACTTGAATGTCATGAATTGATTCTTATAAATAGTTGACAAATCAACGGCTGGCTTGAATTTAGTATTAAGGTAGTTTGCAAGATTCTTCGCATAACCTTCCTTTAATTTCGTGTTCATGTCCAACACTGATGTATTACCCGTGTTAAAGCCAATGAACCAGGTAATAATCAAAACGACGAGAACAACCAACACGAGAACACACACCAGCAACAATCTAATAGAGAATAAAAAGTTGAGGAAGGAATAGATAGACCGAACAATGAAAGGAGTCTTATCTTCCCCGTAGAATAGCGAATCGACAGAATGTGCCTTGTGGAGAGCATATACATCTGCCTTGGAACTGTTTTGTGGTGTTACCACTGGTTGAATACTTGGTGATTTGACCATGGAGTGTTGTATTAATGCAAGTAAATTCAATAGGCACAAGGTGTATAGTAGTTCAGGCAACTCAATGGTTGTATTAAGGGTGATTGTTGGTTTGTTTTTTATGTGATTCTAACGTGGAGGAATATCTTGATCAAGTACATTCAATCAGCACGTAAACACTCATCATCTACAGTGAATCAGTGATGTGTGGGGTGAATTAACTGAAGCAGGCTTCACTACGTTGAAAACCAAACACTTCCAACGTGCTTGGCAGCAACTGAATATTAAGGTACAAGAAAACCAATTTAAGCGAAGAGTCAAACTTCCCCCTTAGGATATAAAAGTATATATACGGAGAGTAATCCATGAAGGGCAACATCGATTCTTGTAATATTTCCCCTCTGCTTATTTGGAAGATGCAGCTATCGGAACTAGATTATAAAAATTAAAGTCTAGATGAACTTGTTGATTCTTAGGAGAAATGAAACACATTTGGTTTATTTCATTCTTATTTAGTAAGAATTTATGTTGATCAGGTAAAACGCAACTAGTTTTGAGCAAGCAAATTCATTCCATACTCAGTCATGTAAGCGAAATACTCGGCTCTTTCTTCTTCTGTGAAAACGGTAACTATTGGACCAGCATAGCCCAATGGCTTCATCAATTGATTGACAACACCTCGAATTGTTTCATTGTTGAAAATCATAGAATGGACTGGAAGTAACATTAAGGCAATTTCTTCATCAGCTCCAATGACAGTTGAATCTTGCAAATCAGCATTTGACAAGAAGGTGCCATCCTTAACTCTAATGTATGCAATCACATCAGGTCCAGTTAATAATGGTGAAGATTGAAGTGAACTGTAGACAAACAAGTTTTCGTTCTGATTGTAAACAACCACCTGATTGTTTGGATTGGTATTGTCAATGATAGTAACACTTCCCAAATCAAAACCTCCAGAAGTCACAATTTGTTGCTTGAATGAACCAACAACAACCACTTTGCCATATTTGAGCGATTCTTGCAAAGTAGCAAGTGGATTTTCACTAGTGGATGCTAGTTTGGACATGTAGCCAGCAGCCAATGCAATTGGAATACCTCCAGGAACTGAATAATTCTTACATTGTTGACCTGTCATTTTCCACAATGCCAATCCAGCAACTGAGTTGAATTCACTTGATGAAATGATTGGTCTAGCCAAAGCTTCAACAGCACTTGCACTGTCCAATAAGATGGCCACTGAATCAGCTGGGGTGTTGGCATTTGACAAGATGGAAGGATTTGTGGATATTCCATTAGCACTGTATGATGTCATTGTGAGTGTTGGAACAGCTCTTCCCATGGAATCAGACAAAATTACTGGAATTCCAGTTTGAGCAGAAACCAGCATTGGCATGAGAGAATTCAATGCTCCAACTTCAACTGGAACAAGATAATCAACATGTTGGCCTTGTGATTGAACAACGTATTGATTGAATGCATTGTAGGCGTTTTGAGCAATGCAAAACTTGGATGAATCAGTCATGGCAGTTGGAGCTCCCTTAATATAAGAGAAGTTAAACACATATTCATATGTAATGTTGACTTACCATACCAGCAACGACTACTCCCAATTGATCATCATTCAAGACAGTTGGATCGATGAGTTGAATTCGTGGGACAAGATTTTCATCTTCCATATATTTAACAAGAACTCTTCCAATTGCAATCTTTAATTAACAAGCCGATGATCGGAATGATAAGTGTCAAATATATTATTTAAATATTATTAATAAATTGATGAGAATCAACCTACACTGCCACCACCTCCACAGCCCATTAAGGCTGCTCCGTACATGATTTGTTCCAACTTTTCACTAGTAAGGCCATAAACAGTAGCATAGGCACGATCAATTCTTTGAATACTTTGAGGAAGATAGAATAATTGAGGATTAGGTGTTGATGAGGACATTTTCTTGTGTGAGAAAACATTGTGAAAAAATCAAAAGCAAGACAAACAATGTGATAATTTTTGCATCTTCCTCAATAGACATAAAAGTGAAACTGCGCCATGTTGGGAAACCGTAGTAATGAAGAGACTTTTTCCGATGCATTAAACAATTAAGGGCAACCTTAGTAGAAATGGCTAAGGAAATTTCCGAGTACAAAAACAGTCTACTCCTAACAAACATGTTGTTTTGAAGACCAAAAACATTGCTAATCAAGTACATTAAGGTGACCACCTCCAAGAGATGAGAGTGTGTACCTATTATTATGTTGAATGTTTAATCCTATTCAAAAGAGTGAGGGAAATTACGGAAGGATTTCAAGTCGGTATACATTTTAAAATAACATTCTTTTTGAATATCTTACTTTGATGTGTGTACAATGAAACAGGAATGTTTCCAAAGAAATTGGATAGTCAAGTTGTAATATTTAACTGTTCCTGATACCATAGGAATGAGGTTCGGAAAGACACTTAACCAGATAATAATCCAAAACTTCTTTTGCATATTTTAAAGAAGGAAATCAATGCTATCAAGACATCAATGGAGACTATCTGTTCCAGTCCTCTTTTTCTTTCAGAATTTGATGTTCACGGTGGTGATTGTGGTTGCCAATTCAAGGAGCATCCTTTTTGGCAAGATTTAAAAAAGAAGAATATTGCCAATAACCTATCTGAGACTTTCATTGCCGTTTATTTTGATTATTATTCATGTGTCTTTACTCGAAATGATAACGACTGACACTGGGAAGACTTCTCTATTGCCTATTATCTCTCAAAATGTAAAGACAAGAATGGGTTGAAAAATTAGCAACGAACTGAACTGAGACGAAGATCACTTGAAATACAATCAATTAATATGCAGGGTGTGTTCTCATTCAATTCGTTCAGAATAAGTTCATTCAATTAGAGAAGGTGATACTTCCAAAATCAAACATGGACAAGATAAGTTAGTGGATGAGTTATTGAATTCTATTAGTATGGAAAGGTTGAAATTTATCCTTGATTGCTTTTTTACAACACATCCCCAGTTGATTAACAAAGCATTTAGTGTTTTGCATGAATCAAAGATTGAGAAGGCAGTGCCAGGTTTCATCCTTCAATAAGAGAGAGACAGCTTTGGCAGAAAGCAATGGTTGCCAAGAAATATCAAATTCTTTACTCCAGAGCATATTTATTGTGAGACTGTTCATGGAATCAAAAAGAGATTTAATCTTTAAGGGAATAAAAAGTTAACTTTACAAAAAAGATCTATCCAAATGAATAGTCGAAAAAAGTAAAAGAGAATCGCCCACCGTGGGGGTCGAACCCACGACCACAAGGTTAAGAGCCTTGCGCTCTACCGACTGAGCTAGACGGGCTACATTTCATTAACAATATCAACTTTTTGTAAATAAAAATACTATTTTGGGTGGTGGTAAATCTCCAATATTAAGACGTCACCTAACAATGGTTCATCAAATCAAGTTTTGGTGTGTATTGGTGGATCTAATCAATCAATTCTTTCGCACTTAATGTGGAGTTAAATTTTCAGTGATGAATTATTCCAACTCGTTGATGGTCTCATTCTTCTCTTGCTTGGAGTCCAATCGGAACAAATGATAGCATTAAATCCGTCATTAGTTCCGTTCGCAATTGATGTCGCCAATCCAAGGGAGTTAATTGAAATGTTTCAAGGAACCTTAACAAAAAAAGCAACAACATCAAATTCTGTTGAAATATGCAAAATAGTCTGATGAAATATTTAATTGTAATCTTGCTATTAACAATAGCTTTCTCAACAAGAAAAGTTGATGCTCTCAACACAGCTGGCAAAGATGTATCCAAGTGTTCCTATCAGAATACTGTGAAATTGGGAACAACCATGACTCTGTACTGGAATGTCCTGAAGAATCCAAGTGATTCCACCAACCACATTCTTGAATTTGGTTTAATATGCGTCAATGCAGGATATTGTGCTATTGGATTTGATCATCCTCTTGACAAGGGAATGAATTCCATTGACACCATGTTTGCCTACACAATTTCTGGAACTGCCTATTTGAAAGATGCCTATTGTAAGACCAAACATGTGTTTCCAACAATTGATGAATTGAGTGGAGGAACCAATGATTATTTGGAAACCAATGGAGGAGTCATTGATGGTCAGTATCATTATAGATGGAGCAGAAAAGTCAATACTGGAGATTCCCAAGATGCCACTTTCAAGAATTCAAATGTCTATGTCAGTTGGGCATATCACACCAGTTTAACTTCAATTGGTGCTACTCACTCTGAAGCTGGACAGAACGTTCAGGTTAATTTTCTTGCCAACTCACCAACAGAAACTTACCTTTCTGGAATGATTTATAATTCTTCGTCTCCCTATCCTACTGATTCTTCTAATGATTCTGTGGTAATTGGTGTTGGACACAGATATCATTTATATGCATTGGCCATTGCGGTCGGTTCAATGATCATTCTTGGCTTGATTTGTACCTACTTGGGTTCCATCCAATGTAGTTACTCACTTTTTACTTTATAGAAAGGTAACCAAGTTAATTCCATATGATTTTCTAGGAGTTTCCTACATTAACATGTTCCTAGATTTGACAGTTGGCGAAATGATTGTCATTTCAGTCTATTGGGCATTGATGGTGATCTGGTTCAGTTATGGAGTTGTAAATCAAGCAGATCCTTTCATTCCAAGAAAGATTTCTTCTGGATATGTACAAATGATCATTTTGAATTACATTTTCCTGTTCATTCCTGTAACTAGATATAATGTCTTGCAAGCATTATTCGGTATTTCATTTGAAAGGTCTTTGAAATTCCACAAGTGGCTTGGTTTTATGATTTTTGGATTTGCTACTGGACATGGTGTGACGGAATTCGTTTCATTCAGAGATAACATACCTTACATGTTCTCTGCAGAGGATCAATTCCCACTATTTGGAATAATTGCTTGGTTATCTCTTGGATTATTATTGCTCTTCTCTTTCAATCCTATTAGAAGAAAGCTCTATGAATTATTCTTAGTTTTCCACATTCCTCTAACTTTGGTCACTGTCACCTTCTCAATCATTCATGGAGAAGGTTGGATTAATTTACTTCCTTATATGGGATTTTCAATTATTTTAATGGTAATTGATTGGGCTTTGCGTTTAATTATTGGATTTGGAATTCCAACCAAGTTGACTCAGATATCATACGATGAGGATTCTGAAGTAACAACCTGTGTATTTGAAAAAAGATTCTTGACATTCTTCCATGATCCAAACCATGCTCACTATGTTTTCGTCTACATTCCACAAGTTTCCATCTACCAACTTCACCCAATGACAATCAGTTCCTCTGTAAAGCTTGAAAATGGAAATCATCAATTCATATGCCATATTAAACGAATGGAAGGAGGTACATGGGCAGCCAAGCTTGCTCAATTGGCTAAATCTAAGAAAATGGTTTCTGAATACTACGGAGTCAGAGTGGAAGGAGCATATGGCAACTTGTCAATTCCATTCTTTGCAAAGAAGAATGATCAGAAGAGAACCATTGTATTCATAGTTGCGGGAATTGGAGCAACTCCTTGTAATGCTATTTTGACAGCACTAGAAGATCCAAAATATAACGATCCAACTCCTTATAAGGTATATGTTAACTTTACAATGAGAAATGAGGCAACTTTGGCCCAAATGAGTAAGATTATGCAACAGAAACCAAATGTTGAATGCTCATTCTATGTAACTGGTGTTAAATCTGTGAAAAAATCAATAGAGTTAATGGAGAAGGGTCAGGATAATAGCGAAGACAAGAGATTTGTCAGAGGATCAAGACCTAACTATGTGGAATATTTGGAAAAGATCAAATCTCAAATTATTCAATCAAAATCACTTGAATATGTTTCTGTTTTTGCTTGTGGTCCATCTAAAATGATGAATGCAGTGCATAATGCTGTGTGGACATGCAGTGATTCATCTTGCCGATTCGAGTTGCACAAAGAAGAATTTGAATTTTAAAATTGGTTTTCTTTTTAATAAAATCACCAACATCAACGTTATGAGTACATTCCTTCAAAACAAAGCAAACAGTGTGTTAGTACAATCATATTCTAAAGCCAAAAGATAAATCGCCCACTGTGGGGGTCGAACCCACGACCACAAGGTTAAGAGCCTTGCGCTCTACCGACTGAGCTAGACGGGCTACCTTTCACATTGAATATCAACTTTTTATATCCTAAAACTTGAGTTTTTGTAATATTTTGTTTTTTATTTTATTATCACATCACTAATACAATCGGATAAATGGTTTTGGTTCTTCGTAATAAACAATTCTATAAGGATAATCTCTCTTATAATAAGTGTTAGAACGGAATTCAATTGGATTAACTTCAACATTTGGAAAATGTGGTTGGAATAATCTTTCAATAATTGCTCTGTTGTCATTTACATTAACATAGTCCAATTTTGGGAATTTCAGACCGTGTACAGAGCACACATCAGCTGGAAAGTCCCTTTCTAATAAAACAAAATCAAAAGTAACTTTCTTGACGCATTGTGGAATTCTATAAATGACATCCATCACAGCCTTTGGTTTAAGCTTGTCATTCTCCAATTCTCTTTCCAAATGAGGAGAAAATAGAACCAATTCTTCAACGTTACTGCAATTCTTCTCAAAAAACTTGTTTAGTTGAACTTCGTCCTTAAACCAAGTATACAATGGAATGTGCAAGACTTTGACATTTTTCAAAAATCTCTTTTCATAACTGATATATTCATGGTAGACATCCTTAATCCAAACTACAGGATTTGGATCAAAATGGAAAGCATATTCAGTAATGGCAACCCTCTTGTCCATAACATTTTCAGAATAGAAATCGAATAATGAAGATTTGATGACTTGGTCAAAGATGTGATAAGGTTGTAATGGTTTTTCGGATTTTCCCTTGGTGGAGTTGAATGCATTCAAGTGTGAATCGATATTGTTGATAAAGTTTTCATAGGAAATGTCAAGATAATCACGTCTGGATAAACTTTTAGCTGCCAAATGTCTCCACAAACGGCAGGTGGAGGAAACTTGCATGACTGAATAAATTGGAAGGTAGGAAAAGACTGCATAGATGATTTCATCATTGATCAATTTGTAGAACATCTTGTTGACCTTGGTTTCATCCTTGAGCAGATCTTGATTCATCTTTAAGATTCTTCCAGTTTCTTCTTGTTTATCCAACTTGTAAGCATTCTCCAAATCGTTAAGGGATTGCTCACTTGCACTATTCATGAACAAGTAGGAAGATCCTCTCATATAATAACAATAGGCAACAGCTTTAGAATCAGCAGCTAGATAAATGTCATCAATGATTTTAACACATTCTGCGTATTGGCAGGAATTGTAAAGTGAAACTGCAATGTTGAAATCCAACTCTTCAGCACTGATTAGTGAACCAGTGGATGGTGCCTTGGAGAAGAAACTAGACCAAACCTTCTCATAGATTAGTTTGTTTTGTTCACAGCATGCATTAACTTTAGTTTCAATTTCGGATTTCAAGTGAGCATGTGTTGAATCTTGCAACAAGTCTCTAGTCCTGATCAATAGTTTAGTAGCTTGATCAAAATCACATGCAATAGCATGACAACATGCCTCCAAATATGAGAAAACATAAACATTTCCCACACTTTCGTCCATTTCCAAAGCCAATTCCATTGATCTTTTAGCTTCCTTTTCATGAGCAGCTTGTACTTCCAGGAATGCTCTCTGTACATACAAGATTGCTTTCACCTTCTTGTCACTTGCCTTCTTCAAATCTTCTTCGATTGATTGCATCGTTTTGCTCTCTCTATAATTTCTCAACATGCCCAAAAGTGATGATTTGGCCACGAGTGGACAACCAGTATAATGAAGAAAGAGTGAACTGAATGGAGTGTTTGCAACCATTGAATCTTATTGTTGTTTAAAGTTTGTTTTTTTGCTTTGGTTGTGATATTGTTTACGTTGAAGATTTTAAGTTGGTTTTGATTGTTTGTGAACAATATCCTATCATGAGAAAATGAAAATGGCAAAACTGTTGTGGGTAATGTTTGTTTGTGATGTATCCCGAGTTGATGATTTCAAATAAATTAAAAGTACCTACAACGTAAATAGAAGGTCTGAAACAAATCATTAATTTCTAAACAATGATACGGACGTGATGATTTCTCGCGTGATGAGGAATAATTATACTAGGCCATCTTGCATGTGCCAACGTCAAACCTACACATCTAATGATTTTGGTAGTGTTTTATTGTTCTGCAAAACCAATAACAATTTGGTATTAACAATATTTTGATGATTGTTTTAACAGTGGTAAAATTGATAAAAAATTTTAAAAAGAAAAATTCTTCAACAAATCCAACTCTTTCTCAGTTGGTGATTTTCAACAGCAATACTTGATAACATTTAAAACGATTGGATGCAGAACATGGAGGTATAATATGGAAGCACCATTATTAGATTTTAGACAATTCTATCATCAATTGCGGATTTTGGAAAGCAATTATTAAATTTATAAAAACTTTTTTGTGGATTCATGGCTGGAAACCTTCATCGTTATGAGTAATCATCAAGAATATAACAACAAAGTGGATGCGACCGTTTTATTTCAAGAAGATGACCATCAATTTTAATTTTATAATTTTCATCAACATCAACAACATGTAGAACAAAAAGAACAACATTTCCTTGTTCTACATCATCAATTACATCACCCCAGAAAGTTTCAAAACTTTCCTTCGAGCAAGTGAAGAGCTGTAGAAGATGTAAGTAAAATTAATTTCAGCAAGCGAAAAACACCTTTGAACAAACTTGGTGAGGAGGACGAAGATTTGTTATCGTACCTCATCAGGATGGGTGATTTGCCAATGCTTTTCGAGCATTTTCCATAATTTGCCAAGTTGAATTTTCACATGCTTCCTAACATTAACCATTCATCATCTACTTCTTTAATCTTCATCACCACAACAATAAATACATCCCAGTGATGTTATCTACCAACAGTTTTCTTCTTGTTAATTCATATCAACAGCTAACAAAGAGAATCATCAAGCCTTCCACCAACAACAAATTAGTCTTGCTTTCCTTGCAACTACATGTATGACAGGATAGACAAGCAACCTTCCTAACCGATTTCATACCAATATTTAAAGTCATATCACAACCATTTTGTCAAGAAATATTAAAATAAGTGAAATGATTCTTTGCAGCTTGGATTCAACAACATTAGTAACAGAGATGCTGACCAAAATTGGAAAAACTGATGTGAAACTTTGATCAACTTTGCTAAAAAGAGTTGTGACTACATTTCAACAGATTGGAATGTTATTACTCTTGCACATATTACAATGACAACTTGTAATTTTTCATGTCAGCTTGTTTGGGAACAATCACCATGCATATTGTAGCAGTTATTTCCATCTTATCTTCTGGCTTACTCAACAATCTACCAGCTCCAAAAGAATGTTCATTGAAAATGTCCCCTTTCTTTTCAACTAATAGCTCTCTACAGAATAGCTTACCAGTTTCTGAATGATACAAATCAATAATTTTCGGCAATTCTTCCTCATCATACTCATCCTCTTCCTCTTCCTCATCATAATCCAGGTTCTTACTACTAAATATAATAGTTCCATAATACAAATCAAATAATTTAAATCTATTATTGCATCTTGTCAGAAAATCAATAATATTGGCATCATATTTTGTGGTGCATCGTTTAACATATTCCAGAAACGGCTCATTCTTTCCTCTTCTTGGGTGTTCATTCTCATCATCACTACCCATAATATAAACAGAGAATGGACACTCATGATACCTATTGGATTGTTCAATAATAATTCTCAATATATCAGATCTATCTTTTGGATTCTCACTAAAACAAATCTGATTTACTCCACTTCCGATACTTAAAAAGAGAGCATCCAATCTTCTAGTCAATGCTGTTGGATAATAATCTTCATCTTCATTATTTCCATCAGATTCAGCATCGAAATCAGCAAGTATATCATAAGCTTCCTCTGAAATATCATCCGTAGTGCCAAATAATTTATCCTTGTATTTATCGTACTCATAATATTCTTCACCATTAATTATTCTTTTCCCTATTCTAGCATAATCATCTTCGGAATCTTCATCATCTTCCGAAGAAGGGTTTTCGTACTCGGAATTTTCTTCCTCATAATCAATTCTCTTTCTTTTCATTTTTTTTAAAATTCTCTTAATTTATTTCACATGCATGAAAATGAATTTTGTAATTGAATTACAGTTTTTCTGGAAAGTCCTTAATAGAAGTGGTTCACAATAACAATGATTTAAATAAAAATCTTGTTGAACTCTCAATAGTGATTAGTTTTATTTCAAAGCAAACTGCTTTGATGGTTTGAGAGAGTACCGACAATATTGTGAAAATCCAAATCGTCACTTCTTATTTTCTAATTGATATCAAATTTAACGTTATCCTCCAATACAGTTCCATAATTTTCAAAATTCTGAATCTTCCATATCATTATTACAATGTTATCTTCATTATATTTCTCCAACCTAATACCCCAAAAAACAAACTCGATTACAATGGTTTCTTAACGGAGTTCCACAAACCTTTAAATCTCATCATATTCTGTTTTGTTTCGATTTTCAAAAAATCAAAAAAAAAATTCCGATTCACATGAAGGTGAGTTGTTCACATTTTCTTTTCCTTGGTTAATAATTCTCATGGGTTGCTGATGATGATAATATATTCATAATCATCATCATCATTAATGAATGGATGTATAGCTCGATTCCGATGAGAGGACGAGTTTTCTGAGTACCAACTCGACGATTCATTATAATTACAATTCTACATCAGCAAATGTTGTTCCGATAATACAAGAAGATGATGTTAATGTCGAGGAGGAAAGAAGATTATTGTTGAAGAGTAATGATGACAGAAAGGATCGTAAAGATAGTAACACGAGAATTGTCTATGCCAATGATGAGAAATCGAATAGCAAGTATAAATATGTAAAGAATCAAATCACTACAACAAAGTATACCTATTTGAATTTTTTATTTAAGAATTTGATTGAACAATTTCAGAGATTTGCTAATTGTTGTAAGTATTTGGTGGAAATTGTTGGATTGAATTATGATTTGTAAGATTTCTTATTTATGGCAATTTTGCAGACAATTCCGACTTTATCACCGACTGGTCAATTCACCAATTCAGTTCCATTGTGTTTTGGTATGTTTGTAATATGTGAATTCTAACAATGAAACTAGTTCTTTTTGTAACAATGATAAAGGATGCATTTGAAGATTATACAAGAAGAAGTTCTGACAAGGTAACAAACAATCAACGAGCTCATGTTTTGAGGGGAGATGAATTTGTGGATGTTCTGTGGAAAGATATCAAGACTGGTGACATTTTAAGAGTGGAAAATAATGAAGCATTTCCTTGTGATTTAATTTTACTTTCATCGAGCCACAATCAAGGATTATGCTATGTGGAAACATCTGGTTTGGATGGGTAAGTGAATGCTAAAAAATTAAGCATGAAATTAACCTTTGTGAAATATATTTAGGGAGAGTAATTTAAAAATTAAAAAGTGTCGTAGTGAGACAATTTCCCTTAAATCTGCAGAAATACTCAATGATAGTAGGATGATTGTGGAATGTGAAAAACCAAATAATAGATTGTACAAATTCGAAGGAACATTAATGTTAAATAGTGAAAAGAAACAAATTGCTTTGGATACAGAACAAATTTGTTTACGAGGATCATCATTGAAAAATACTGAATTCATGATTGGAATTTCAATTTTCACAGGATCAGATACCAAGTTAATGATGAACACCAAGTAAGTTGACATGACACTCATTCTATTAACATTAGTAAAGAGCAACTCCTCACAAGATTAGCAAAATTGAAAGAATGATTAACAAATTAATTTTACTAGTATTTGCCTTTGAAATCATGCTGGCTCTTGGACTTGATGGAGGATATATTGCATGGACCTATTTTAACACAGACGCTTGGTATATTTTCAGTGACCAGAAAGTTAATATGGACTATTTGGCATGGAATGGATTTAAAGGATTTTGGACTTTTCTGTTGTTATTGACTGATTTAATTCCAATATCTTTATATGTTTCAATTGAAACAGCAAAACTTTTCCAAACCATGATGATAAGCAAAGATTTGAAAATGTATAACGAGACAACGGACACTCCTACCATAGTACGTTCTTCAGCATTGCATGAAGATTTGGGACAGATCAATTACATCTTCTCAGACAAAACTGGAACATTAACGGAAAATAAGATGGACTGTAAGTATGCAATTGGAATTTAGTGTAATAACATTGAATAGTTATGAAGTTTTCAGTTTCTGGAATTATGTACGGAACAGGTATTACAGAAATTTCTAGAATAACAGCGAGGAAACATGGACAAGAGGTTGTGGATGAACGACCTGCTCATGTAAGAAATTCTGATTTCCATTTCTACGATGAAAGAATTAATGATGGAGCATGGGTGAAACAGGAAAACTCTGCAGATTTATTGAACTTTTTCATAGTGTTGGCCATTTGTAATACAGTTATTCCAGAGGAAAATGATGATAACGATATTGTTTATCAATCTTCATCTCCAGATGAAGCAGCACTTGTCAAGGCAGCAAAATATTTAGGTGTAGAACTAGTTAACAAAGCAATGAACACAATAACCATAAGAGTTTTAAAGGAAATTAGAGAATACACATTAGTAGAGGTTATTGAGTTTTCGAGTGATAGAAAAAGACAATCAGTAATTGTTAAAGATCCAGAAGGAAGATTATTGATAATGACCAAGGGTGCTGACTCTGTTGTCTCTAGATTACTTTGCAACGAGTCCAGAGAGCAATACGGAAAGGTTACAATTCAACATTTAGATCATTTTGGTAATGAAGGTTTGAGAACAATGATTTGTGCTCAAAGTTTCCTAGATGAAGAAGCTTTCAAAATTTGGCGAGAAGAATATGAAATGGCAAAAATTTCAATTGAAAACCGTCAAGAAACTATTGAACTAGTGGGTGCTAAAATTGAAACAAATCTTTCTTTTGTCGGAGCTACTGCAATAGAAGATAAATTACAGCAAGGAGTTGGAGAAACAATTTATGATTTGAGAAAGGCAGGAATTAATATTTGGATGTTAACCGGTGACAAGTTGGAAACTGCAATTAATATTGGATATGCATGCGACTTGCTAAACTATGGAATGAATGTATTGATTGTGGATGGAAGCTCACTGGAGGAACTTCGATCTTTCTTTGAGAAGAATTTGAGTCTCTATGAAGATGCTTCTCCAGAGTCCCTAGGGCTTGTTGTTGAAGGAGAAAAGCTATTGACCATTTTGGATGAAGATCAACATGGTGACAAACGTACAAGTTTACGAAATTTATTCCTTAATTTGAGTATCAAATGCAAATCAGTTATTTGTTGCAGAGTTTCTCCAAAGCAAAAATCTGACATTGTATTGTTAATCAAAAATAATGTAACTTGTGTAACGTTGGCAATTGGAGATGGTAGTAATGACGGTAAGTTCAAAACACAGTTTTAATAATTAACTTTCTAAAGTGAGCATGATTCAAAGTGCCAATGTTGGAATTGGAATTTCAGGAATGGAAGGTTTACAAGCTGTCAATGCTTCAGATTATGCAATTGGCCAATTTAGATTCCTCAAACGTTTATTACTCGTTCATGGAAGATGGAACTATAGAAGAGTTTCCAAGTTGGTGGTTTATGTTTTCTACAAGAATATTCTCTTCTTCTTAACTCAATTGTGGTTCAATATTTATAATGGCTATTCAGGAGCTTCACTTCATGATAATTGGACAATAGCACTCTATAACACAATTTTCACTGGACTTCCAATTGTTGCCCTCGCATTTATGGATAGAGATGTACCTGATTATATTGCTGAAAAGTATCCAGAACTTTATTTCCAAGGACAAAAAAACAGATATGTAAGTTCAAGTTACTTGTTTTAATTTATTAATTATCTTCGAATAGTTCAATGCCAAAATATTCATTTCATGGATTGTGAATGCAGTATTCCATTCTACAATTTGTTTCTTCATTCCATACTATTGTTTAGTGGATAGCAAATTCATTGATGGACAAGATATTGATACACAAACTATTGGAATTGCAGTTTATTCCTGTGTTCTGGCTGTAACATTATTCAAGTTGGCAATTGAGACAGCCTCTTGGACCATTGTACATTGTCTCTTTTATTTTGGATTTTATCTTTCATTTCCTGCATTTGTCTTCTCATACGGAAGTGTTTATTATCTAATCAAGTATCCTTATCCTGTCCTTTCTGAAACCTACAGTATTACACAGAGATGGAGAATTTTCCTCTCACCTCAATTTTATTTCATTCTAATGTTGGTTGCCTTTGCATGTTGCCTTCGTGATATTTTCTGGAAAGGTTTTGTGAGAATGTATGATAGAAATTTCCTCTATGAGTTACAAGAAAAAAGAAAACAAATTAGAAAGGAGATGCAGTTCATCAAATAAGTTTTCAACCTTAGGACTGTAAATGTGATTTTGGTTGTAAAATAAAGCACTGAATTTTAATGCAATATTTGGAAATCTGAGAACTTTTCAAGTGCAATCTTTCCAAATTTTATTGGAATAACTGTTGTAAAAACCTTATTCATCTCAATCCTCCACAACTCACTGTTATCATTTCAAACAATTTATAGAAATGGTTATTGTATTGCAACTAGTACAGATTAGAGTGATGGAAGAAATTTGTAAATTCACTTGATTAACAATATTCCAGCGAACTTCAAAAAACATAGTCGAGTATATAGCAAAAAAATGTCAAAACTCGATAACCCTAGTGCCATTTTTGTTTCCAATGACGAAGTATTTATTGCTGATACGGGTAATGATCGAGTGAGAAAATTGCTTCGGAATGGTCAAATTGTAACAATTGCAGGAAATGAGCGTGCATCATTGTATAATCCATCTTCTATTGTTGTTTCATCATCAAATCAAGTTTATATTTCGGAAAATGAGCGTCATTTGATTTACAAGATTGATGAATTTGGAATCATGACAAAAATTGCCGGAACATGTGAAACAGAATACAATGGAGATGATCAATTGGCTGTAAATGCAAACTTGAACTCTCCTTGTGGTCTTTTTGTTACTGATGATGATGAAGTATTATTTTGTGATAGAAGAAATCATCGTGTGAGAAAGATTGATAGAAATGGAATCATTACAACAATTGCTGGAGATGGAATTGAAGGATACGATGGAGATAATCAATTGGCAACATTGAGTTCATTGAAACACCCTTGTAGTGTATTTCAATACAAAGATGAAATTTACATTGCAGATTCCTTCAGTAATAGGATTAGAAAAATTGATCGTGATGGAATCATCCACACAATTGCAGGAAATGGAATTGAAGGATACAATGGAGATGGAAGGAATGCCACTGATACAAGTTTGAACAACCCTAATTCTCTCTTTGTTCACAATGATGAAATTTACTTTTCAGATTTAGACAATCAAGTGATAAGAAAGATATTACCCAATGGAATCATCAAAAACATTGCAGGAATTCCAGGAAAAAAAGGATATAATGGAGATTATAAATTAGCAACAAGAACAACACTTAGTTGGCCAAAAGGAATATTTGTTGATTCAAAAAATCAAGTTTATTTTGCTGACTACTATAATCATTGCGTAAGAAAGATTTTCAAGAATGGAAATATGAAAATAATTGCTGGAATTGGAGATGTATTTGGATATTCAGGAGATGTTCCATTTGATTTCCAACAATATCCACATATTGGACCACCAAGAAAGAAATCACCAATCAAACCATTCCCAAAATCATATCATGATTTGATTTTAATTTGTCAAATTGTTTAAGAATCAATTGGAAAAGATTAACCTTATAAAATTTAATATTTATTAAATAAAAGGTGTAAGGTTAGGATTCAGAATTGATTTATTTGGGTTATTTAATAGATTACTTAGTGAAGATTCATATCATTGATTATATTTCTTATCATCTATAAATGATGTAAATTTGATGGTTTCATTTCTTATATTGACAGATATTTAAAGGTCAGGTCAGTATCAACTTTTGTATTATGGACTTTGAGAAGTAGATTGAATCAGGTTGATTTGCATGCAATATGAATAAGTAACATTATCAAGAGTGATTATTCACCAATTCAATAATCAATATTCAATAATCGGTTGGATTTCAATCAATAGCTTGCTCATCAAGCTTTGAATATTAATATTCCAGTAATTAACGGCAGTCTATTTTTAAATTTAATCAAAGACCATATATAGTATCTTGACTTTTATGATCTGGAAACTATCTAGATGTGTTCTATATTGAATAATCTATTTGAAAATGAGAAGAATTAACTCTTCTACTGAGTTTTATTGGTATTGCATGGAATTACGATTATAATAATCTACACAGAAATCACTCTTGAAATATAAACTGTACTAAAATGTATGAGAAACATACTGTTGGTGGAATTAACCAATAAATCGCTGAAGTGACTGAGATGGAATGTAAGCAATGGACTATTTGTCATGTAAAGGTGATTAGACAGTGTCAATTTCATCAAATTGTTTCAAACTGATTACATTCAATAAAAAAACCGTTCTATACATCACGTATGTCATACAGAATGAGTTTCAATATTTAAGATTGTGAACTGACTCTGTTGGATACCATCTCTATAAATATAACAAGATGAAAAGTGTCAATATTCAATTTCACATGTATGTTACTATGGAGAGTCATCATTATATCATCTGGATAGGTAATATTTCAAGTTTCAGTGGAATAGACAGTCTAGATATTGAGATGTGTATAAGGTGAAAGAAGTGTCACCTTCACTGATTACTGACATGAATATAATAATTGAATGTATTATTCTTGTATAATTAATTCATTATTCAATGATTTGGATTTTGGATATGATGGTAAAAATTAATTTTGAAATTAAGATTCTTCCCTTTTGATTACCTTAGATGGAATGTTGCCATGAATATAAAACTTTCTCAGATTGTTCTCCTCATCAAGGGAAGTGTATTCATATTTGATACAAGTATGATATTTTGTAAACTGACTGAGATGGTATTCATTCTATATGTTGAAATATGACAATTTGACAGATTGTTATTATTATCATATTGAATTCAATTCTAAAACACTAAAATTGATACCAGATGTATATCAGTGTGAATAAATGTATCTGGTAAAGTTACATGATGTTTGGATATACTTTCATTGAGACAGAGTGTACAATTGGATATAAGCATATTGACATTGAACATTTACTGATTGACTGAATGAAAGTATCATGAATTATTTCTAAACTTGTATAGATGTATATAAATGGTGTATAGAATTTGTGTTATCAATTCTAGACTAATTACATATAAAATAAGTGATTTGGAGCATAATCTTTGTTTTTATGTCAAAGTTCTATAGTAAAATGATAGAGTTGTCAACTCAATATCTTTTTTTTTTTTTTTTGAATGACTTCTAGTCTATTTATTAGTTTTATCTCTGATGTACTAAATCACATCTTCTAATCCATGTCCGGTGGACGTATCTCATAATACAACTTCTTATTTTGGTGATTTGCTTTTTCGTAACAACTCCTAATTTCCTTGCTGTATTCCTTGTGATTAATCCTCCCATAAATGGAAAACATTCAGCCATTTTTTCCTTGCTAGCAAGCAATTCCATTTCAATTAAGCTTCCTGTATTTTCTTTTTTAGATATAGGGTTTGGTTCTACTGGGTTTGGTTAGGATTCAGAGTTGATTTATTTGGGTTATTTAAGAGATTACTTAGTGAAGATTTATATCATTGATTATTTTTCTTATCATCTATTAATGCTGTTAATTTGATGTTTTCATTTCTTATATTGATAGATATTTAAAGGTCAGGTCAGTATCAACTTTTGAAATATGGACTTTGAGAAGTCAAATGTTTGGGACGTGAATCTACTCATTGGATTGAATATGTATTGCTAATAAAGGAACATTTCATTGATTTATTGATTATAACCGTCAAATTGAGTTGAATGGAAGTGATTCTTATGTTGATTGATCGTGGATGGGTAGTTTCGCCACGTAGTGGTGCAACTACCAACCTTTGTAGATTGAATCAGGTTGATTTGCATGCAATATGAAATATGTAGCAGTATCAAGAATCAAGAGAGTGATTGTTCACCAATTCAATGATCAATATTCAATAATCGGTTTGATTTCAATCAATAGCTTTATCATCAAGATTCCAGTAATTAACGGCAGTCTATTTTTAAATTTAATCAAAGACCATATATAGTAGCTTGACTTTTATGATATGGAAACTATCTAGATGTGTTTCTATATTTAATAATCTATTTGAAAATGAGAAGAATTAACTCTTCTATTGAGTTTTATTGGTATTGGATGGTATTACGATTATAATAATCTACACAGAAATCACTCTTGAAATATAACCTGTAGTAGAACGTATGAGAAACATAATGGTGGTGGAATTAATCAATAACTCGTTGAAATGACTGAGATGGAATGTAAACTATGGTCTATTTGTCATGTAATGGTGACTAGACAGTGTCAATTTCATCAAATTATTTCAAACTGATTACAATCAATAAAAACCCGTTCTATACATCAAACATGTCATATAGAATGAGTTTCAATATTTAATATTGTGAACTGGCTGTGTTGGATACCATCTCTATAAATATAACAAGATGAAAAGTGTCAACATTCAATTACACATGCATGTAACTATGGAGAATCATCATTATATCATCTAGATAGGTAATATTTCAAGTTTCAGTGGAATTGACTGTCTACATATTGAGATGTGCATACTAAGGTTAAAGAAGTGTCACCTTCACTGATTACTGACATGAATATAACAATTGAATTTATAATTCCTGTATAATTAATTCATTATTCAACGATTTTGATATGATGGTAAAATTTAATTTGAAATTAAGATCTTCCCTATTGATACCTAGA